AACCTTTTGTTGACCAAGGTATTTAAATCCCCCGCAGCCATCAAGTGTTGCTGTCCGAAGAACATTAGTAAAGCACTGCTGGGCAAAAAAAAACAGGTTTCTCAACCTTCAAACTTCCCTTCATAAATGAGGTAAAAATTTAGTTAAAAACAAAATCTAATTTTGCCTTTTTCCTGCCTCTCCTGGTTCTCATAGGAACCCACTTACGCAGGGTTTCTTTTTAAAAAGCACACACACACACACACACACACACACACACACACACACACACACACACACACACACACACACACACACACACACACACACACACACACACACACAGTGTACAGCCAAAGGTCAGTGTGACAAGGAGCAGGGTCTGGGTGAGTGATTTGTGTCCTTGTAGGTGAAAGGTCTTTGGCCTAACACACCTCTACCTTGTACTACCTAGGTAGGGTGTACAGTGTATGTGTGTGTGTGTGTGATGTCTGACTTGAATTACAAAGTCTCGAGGGTCTCATAAATATATATTTTTTCCACCATGCTCACTGTTCAGATTTCTACATGACCTCAGGGATTATCGGTGGCAACCGTTTCTATTAAATTTCCTATTGCTTAACCTTTAATCTCAGGTTTCACAGAGAGGCTTGGTGTGTGTGTGTGCGTGTATGTGTGTTTGAGTGTGTGTTTGTTACTACATTGCGCAGAGAGCACAGGACAAGAACAACACTTGCACAGCACACTTGTGTGATAAGACAAGAAAATACGCAAGCAGGCAGTTGAACACTGCGTGTATACAATGGATACAATAATATACACTCATTACTAAGAAGAACATCACATAGAGTTTTGTCCTCTGTTATTCTTATCACTGATTCAGTGATGAACAAACATGATTCTGATTATTATGACAATACCGTCAGTCAACAATACCGATACCGGCCAATGTATCAATGCATCCCTAATTACTTTTGAAGTGAAAATGCCAATTATTCCCATGTTCCAAGTTTCCTATTGTGAATATTCGTGTGAATTTCATTGTCTTGTGTGATAGAGAATGAAACAGTTAATCAAAAGTGTAATCAGCATATTAATTGACAACAAAAAAAATCATTATTTGCCGCCCTATACTACCACTCCCTCATTTTTTCATCTACAAGTATTACTGTTACTACAACCACTTCGGCAATACTGCTGTGTATACATTACATTAATACTACTACTAGCACTGCAACTACTACTACTACTACTACTACTACTACATTTACCTGCTGCTAATAATAAAGGCTTTATCTTAATGAATCTCAGTCTATAAACCCACACAGGCAGCTTAACATGCAGATCACTGAGCTTTAAGAAAAGAGATTTTTTTTATATCTGGCAAAACAAAGAGACACATTGGCTGCAATCTTTCCTACATTGTCTAGTAAAAATAACACATCAGGTAGAAGAGAAAGACAGAAAAGGAGAAAGGTCTTCTTTGCTTTTAAGAAATGCTAAACAGATGTAGGTTGGTGCACAGTTTCAGATCGAAGAAGGAGTTTCACTTGGTTTTTGGGTGTGCCATAGATTGATCAATACCCCTCATCCTAATTTACCCCTCAATGGCTAAATTGGACCCTATTTTCATGTTCGAGGAGCAATGCCAATCAAACTTACCCCTTCAGCCCCACCCCACAAAAACCACTTTGTATCAGCAGCCAACGCCTAGTCTCAACACTAATCACTATGAAATCTCTCCCAACAGAGATTCCAGGTATATGTTGTCCTACATCATAATATCCTGTGTTATCTGTGACAAAATGTGAATTTCAGTCAAAACACTGATAAACACTCATAATTTCTCAAAAAAAAGAAAGAAAACCAAAAGGATTTCTTGAAAAGCTTACGTAAAAAAACAAAAAAACAGTTGGCCTTGCAAATAAAACATGTTAGAGCTGTTAATGCTGCAGCTAATAGTGCATGTAGAACAGTGAGGTTTCACTATGATAAATCTGAATGGTACCCTTCCCACTGGTGTTTCTGTGTGTGTCTTTTCTCAAATTTGTTTTGTTGTGAGCACCTCTGTTACTGCCACTCCTCTAAATACTATACTGATAATAATATTACCTACTAATACTGCTGAGCTTCCTGTTTTTATTTTAAGGTGACCCCACTGAGCAGATGTGATGGTGCAACATGCCCCCTTTAAAGGCATGTGTCTCACTGACAAATGAACACACAAGCAGCAGTCTACAGCTCCTGTTCAGGACTAAAAAAAAACAGACATATTGTATATGAAGTTGGTGGTAAAAGAAAGTTTTCTCCGCTTTCTCACACTGTTATTGTTGTAATAAGTTCCCTCTGCTGGGTGGATAAATTCAACTTGTGTTCTGCCCACTATTGACCACACTCGTAAAACATCATACAGTATGAGCCAAAACATCCATAAACCAGTTTCGGTTAAACAGGGAGATTAAAGTACAAAAACTAAATGTGTCCTGTGCATTAAGCATGAAATAAAGCACACGTATGTGATATGCTCAATTCCCGAGTACATAACCTCGTGGTATGCTAACCGATCGTTGAAATTACAATTACTGGTAAGTTTGCAAACTTCCTGTCTTCATTGTTCCTCATCAGGGGATTTTAAATTGAATGTTTTCTTGTTAAAGTTAAACAAGTGTAAAAAAAGTTCCTCACATGTGATAGAGCTGGAGAATAAGCTTGTTGATTAAAATAAAGGCAATTATGTTCCAGGAAGATTGGTACCAAGTTGCTTCTGGTGTAAACAAGGGGTACTGCAAGCAGCGTTACCAAAAAAATCACCCTGATCCTACACCACCTCAAACATGGGAGTAGAAAAATATCTGAGGACAAAAGTGAAAAATCATACCCCGGAGGGGAATACATTCCAGGGTCAGCCCTCGGTGGGAAAAGCTTAGAGGGTTATCCAGGTTTATCAGGACAGCTGGCCTCCGTCCAAGGATAACTCAGCCATAAAGCAGAGGAGTTCTGACCGGACATTTCAAAGTTTACTGATGAGATGTTCCCTTAATTATGTAATCTGGACCAATTCTAATGTAGGGCCTCTCTTTCTCTGACTACTAAGCATCACTGCAAACCACAGCAAAGAATGAATGCATTATCAGCTGTCTATTCATTGCAACGTCACACTTCTCTGGTGATCTGTCCATCCACAATCACACCAGGATAGACCATATTATGTTAGTATATAAATCTTGTAGTATATGTTCTAGTATTTGTACCGGTTTTCTGACTGGATTATTTAGCTTTTCATCACAGTGCAACTTACATATGAACTATCTCATCTCACTCAGATACAGACTCTGTGTATCTAAAGTGATGTGTCTAATAAACTGTCAACATGTCTTTAGCACCAAAAGAAGTTCTTGTACATTTTAGCACATGGTTATTCTATTTTATCTTTTGTTGGATTTATTTTTATAACAAACCACAGATAGCAAACACACTCAAGGTTGCACATTTTTACACACTTACAGTTCTATGGATCCATCAATCCAGGGAACAAGAGCAAAAATGGTACAACAATGTAGAGTGCCTGGACAAGAGCATCTGGGAAATGACCTACAGTGCTACATTATTGGAACAAAGAACTTGAATGTCAACTTAAGTCACCATTTGTTAAAGCAGGACCGCAAGCAAAAGCTAAGGTTAACTGGTCTTACATGGCTGTAACATGTCTGGCTTAAAGTCTATGTTTGTGGTAAACAAACACCAAAATAAGGATGTAGCCTAAAGAGAAGACTCCTTAAAAACACAATAAATACTCACAAACTTCTAGTTGGAGCCACACAATAAATAAATTATCAGAAAATTTAAAACTGATTATACTATTGTGTATCTAGGCTTTCACACTGTGAAAGATTTAGGTGGAAACCTAACATTATTTATTTTTACATCAATGATTAACCACAATATCTCAATATGATCATTTCGTCATTGCAAGATCATATTGCAAGACAATAAAAGATCACATTGAACTACTGGCCAGCCCTGCTTCTGATTAATGCTGCAATATACAAGTTGTGACAGGTGACAATTATGAACATTTCTTTGAAATCAGAAACCACAACAACCTCCTTCTGACCCTCCCATCTCCCTCTATCACTCCCTAACACAATTACTAATAGAAGTAAGGAATGCTAACTATATATATATATATATGTTTTAACACTTAGGCATTTTCAGTAAAACGACACAAACCAACTCACACTTACCAGGTTTCTTCTCACTTATAAGCTTCATAGTGAGGCAAAGTATCAGCTCACAGGTGCATACAAAAAAGAAAAATATAAAAAACGATATTAAACACGCTTGTGTGATAAAAGCTAGAAGCCTCGGCCACTCTTGGATATCTGAAGAGACTTCACACAGCGAAGAAAACGCCACTTTCCCACATTCTTCGCTAAAACTGCAAAGTTTTCCTGGATGATCTTTACTCACATCATCCGAAACATTCGGTAAATAAGGGGGCGGGGTACCGGCCCATTCAACCCTGCCTCATGAAGACAAGAGTCGGGTGTTGATTGGCTGAAGCAAGCCAAGCCCACTTATCAGGAGCTTTTTCACCACCGGGGAACCGACCAATCACAGCGCACCAAATGCAACCTGAGGGTTCATACAAACAAGAGGGGGTCTCCCTGACGACGGCAGGCTTGAAGATTGGACAGATCTTCCAGAGACAATGTACCACCTAATCTGATCAAAAACCGGAAACACACATTAACCACGAAACCGTGATAGCAGTTTATAAAAATGCAGTTAAAGGAAAGGTTGCTTGAGGTTGCTGCTGTCTCATTGCAACACTGCATAGTTGTGCTAACGGGCTGCCCAGTATTGCAGCGGGTAACGTTACCCGTCTCCCGATTTTCATGTCCCGCTAACATACCACCGCTTCCACCGCCGGAAAAAAATAATGTCAGATAATGCGCACAATTTAAAGATAACGTTAGTAGCTAACAAACTGGGGTTTCCCAAAGCTGGCTGACACTTACGGGGTCTGTTCCGTCTCACCGACTCCGTCCTCCTCCGTAGCCTGCACCTCTTGGCCGGGGACCCGTTGCACTCCACATCGTCCCCGCGGTGCAGATGGTGCATGTTCTCAAATGTGCTGCTGTTGGGTCCGGTGCTCGACCCGAATGCAGTGCCGCTGCAACAGCTGCCGTTAGCGGCCACAGCGACGTGGCTGTGAAAGCCCCTCTGGTTCTGCCCGTTGTTGACATGAAAGGGTCCCGACGCTCCTTTCTTGTCCATCATTGACTTGGCTTTATCCATGGCAGCAGCTAGCCTAGCCTAGCTTACCTTAGCATCTGCAGGAGGAAAACACTGTAGAGCCCGGCCGCTAGCAATAAGAAACCGGCTACTTTAGCTTAGCTTCGCTAATGTTAGCCCCGCTGCTTGGAAGCTAGTGAGTCAGTCGCGCGAGCAGCTAACGTCAATTTAACGTGTGTTAACCTAAAATATAAAGCTCGAATTTGACCTATTTTTTCCCTTTAATGTAATATTAAAATGGAAATACGAGTAGTCGCTAAATTACAGTGTTTCCTTTGAGGTCACTCGCGGTCATTTCCCCACATTGAGACTCTGGCAGGCGACGCGGCAGCCGGTGTGTGTGTGTGTGTGTGTGTGTGTTGGTGGACGGATACGTCACACCAGCTCTTCCAGCCGAAGCCCGAACCCGTTCACCTCCTCCGACCGGTTTTCTCTTTGCAGTAAAATTGCACTGTAATTTAACACTTAAACACAAAGAAATGCAAGAAATGACTCGTCCTGTGTCGCCCACAGTACAACAATGCACCGCGGCTGCTCCCTGGAATATAAATCAAACACAGTCGCAGTATATGTGCAGCTGTGGGCGCTTTATTTATAATGGTCGCTGCTCGCTGTCATCCTCATTCCCCGCAGTCCTCTGCACGCGTGATGATGCTGCCAGTCAATAACATGTCAGTCACTCAAATGAACGCTAGTAACCGTGTTGTTGCGTGCAGAAACATGGCCAACCGACAGCTCTTTCTTTCGGGTGATAACCTCTGATAACGTCTTTTGTTATCCTGCCGAGCATTTTAAACTGTTTTATCTGATTAGTATATTATCTGGGATGTCTGTGCACTCCAGAGACCTTTAGCCTACTACAATTGGACGATAAAATAAATGAAAATAAAATGTAATAATGTACTAAATAAATAGTCCTCCTATTTATTTTGAATATTTATTGTGGACTCAAAGATATTAAGATGTACTTTAAAATATATTATTCAAGAGACGTGATATCAACAGGCACAGTTCAGTCAAGATACAAAGGTCAAGCAACAACAGTCTCAGCTTGATAAAGGACTACAATCACAAGAATCAATAAGACTACAAGACATTTCTTTCTTGGCAATTCATTCCTGCTATAAATATCAGTTTTCAAATGCTCTAAAAGTACCTAAAGCAATATATGTTATAGATAAAGTCTATAATTGTTGTTACTACAAAACTGACAGCAGAGATAATGAAGATGGACTTAAAGACTATTGTAAATGCCGTTATGTAAAGCACTACTGTAAAAAAACAAACATAACCAAAACTAAGTACCGGCCTACAACTGCAGTTGATCGGATGGTGAAGGAATGACACAAGAAATACGGTTAAGATTAAGAATTACCATAAGGAGTTACATTGCGGCATATTGATTAATGTGACATCCTCCCCCTAAGTGGAGCAATGCAAACATTATCAGAATTACTGAGGAAATATAATTGTGTGTTATGACATCACTGTTACCACTATATCAAACGCCATCAGTTACCGGAAATATACTTTAGTGATGTCCATCATACCACAATAGATAAACAAATGCCATCACTTTCATAATGGAAGCTCTACATGTAAGGGCTGTGGAACTTTAAGAGCACTAATGGAGCCTTGAAATGGTGCCATCTCCTGGTTAAAAGTAATTAACTTTTTTAACTGGCACTTTAAAGGTAGAGTAAAAGTCAGTCTCCTTTTTGAAATCAGGAGCATTATTAAACACGTTGCATCATATTTTTTTAATAAATGTCTAAGGAATGAGCCTAGATTAGATAGGAATCAGGTCAACTGTATAGAAATCACTGAGTTCAGTCATTATGCAACTAATTAGTCATAGCCCACTGTGCTTTAAGTCTCTTCTCTCCTCTTCTTCTGTAAACAAGGCCTGCACAAATATAAACACACATACACATTCATAGAGTGTGACAGGTTTGATCCTGAGAGCACCTGCTTACAGGAAAAATTCTATTTCATGGTTTGAAAAATGGAATGTAAGTCGTAAGTTGGGACTGAGGATGTGACACGCCTGCAAGGTGTACATGCAGTCCCAAGAGAACCAGGTGGAAACCAACTGGAAACCTTAAAGATCAAACATGGTGGCAACATCACTGCAGTGTATTATTGTTTAGAATCTCTCAGTGAAACCACATTGTGATGATTTGATACTGTGACACATAATTCAGCTGTCAAATAAAAATTTAGATTTTATTAAATAATAAGATATGAAGTACAACAAGGAATATATGAGCCAATTGTTTTTGACATCAATGGTTACACATTTTGGGAAACATGCTTTTAATTACTTTCTTGCTGAGAATTAGATGAGAAGGTCAGTATCACTCTCATGCCTGTCCATTAAAGGTCCAGTGTTTCATATTTAGGAGGATTTATTGGCAGAAATATAATATGCATAACTATGTTTTCATAAGTATATAATAACATGAATATAAGAATCATTCTGTTGAATAAGGCTTTTATATCTCCAGACACCGTGGGTCACCTTCCATGGAGGCTGCCATGTTGAGCTGCCATGTTTTTACATTAGCCCAGAAGGGACAAACCAAACACTGGCATTCCGGTTTTTTTTTATGTGTTTCACAGCCACCGTAGTTTCTCCTTTGTGCTTGGAAGGAGAAGGTGAAGTAAGGGAGGTGCGATCTGCAACTATATTGCTTGATGCCAGTAAATCCTACACACTGGACCTTTAAGAAGCTGCAGAGATGGTTGGCAAAAATTGAGCCGGGCAAGCTGTTTCCAGTTTTTACGGTAACTAAACTAACTTTAACAGTTCTAGCTTCATATGGAATGCAGTGTGCGAACTATACCATCGCTTTCAGGGGAGCTCACTTTTTCTTACTGACTGAGACTTACAGTATGCTGACTACAAAACAGAGAAATGAATAATGGCGATTCTGCATAATGAGTGAGTGGGACAAAGAAAGATCTTGGAGTTAAAGTGAGTTAAGTTTATGAAATTGCAATTGACGGTGTTCGCAAGAATAGCATGCATACTTGTATCTTTATTAAATTAGTGAGGAATCACCCTCATGCATGAATTATACACCCATAATGTTATTGATAATGATAATGAAGATATAGAAAAATAGAAATGCATGGCAAAAATGTTTTCCTGTAGTTCGCACCCTGACTGAATGTACAGAAATGAGAGTGGAGTCTCATCTAACTCCCAGCCAGAATGTGAGTGAGCATTATCTCCCAAAATGTCAAACTATTAACATAAATCGCTTGGTGATATTAATTAATACCACAGAAAAAAAAAACCTCAGTATGACTTCTACCACCAAAATAAGCCCTCGCTGTGCTACATTGCGCCAAGTCTTAAGGCCACATAAGGCGTTAGAGGTGACTGAAGCACTTTGGTTGTAAGATAGTGGAACAGGTTTGTCTTTGACAGTTTAGACTTCCTATCATTTAATTCTGATGACTATTCTGATGACTAAAGTCTAGACTGAGTGCTGAGATATTTAGTCTCAAGAATAGAGGGGATGTTTATGTCTTTTTATTGATTCTACCAAGAAAGTTCAGTTCCATCCCAGCTGTACGCCTTGCCAGTCTTTTCGATATTCAATGTGTCTATGATGCTCATAAGACAGTGCACAGACTGATCGGTGCTGAACAGCTTGTCTTTTGGTACATTCTTGTGATACGGTCGGGAGAGGTCTGTGTTGACTGTTCCTGGATGCAAGGACACACACACCACCTGGAAAAATAAGATACAAGTTCATCAAATCTCTCTAAAGATAATGGCCTGGGGTTTATATGAATGGAGAAAGTTTATGGCAACACTCAAACCTACCTTCGGCCGACTGCGGCCCAGCTCTATAGACAGATTCCTGGTAGCCATGTTAAGAGCTGCTTTAGACATTCTGTAACTGTACCAACCGCCAAGACCTGAGAGGAGAGGGCAGTGGTGGAGAGAGCAAATCATAGAGGAACACAAATGAACCATACCATACTACATCAGCATGCATTCATTCATTACCATAGATGTTTAAAGGGAAATACTGTGTGTGTGTGTGATTACGGGTCGTAATTGACTTTTAACAGACCCATTTTTCCCTCAACGTGCCCTTTCCTCACAGTGGTGTAGTCTACAATCTTGTGTGTACAGATATTTAAAAAAGTGTTTCTGAACAACCAGCAACACACTATCTACCGTTGTCGCCAATGGATCCCACTTTGGCAGTGATGTTGACGATGATGCCGCTGTGCTGTTTGGCTTTCTCTGCAGGCTGTTGACCGAAACCACCTTCACCTTTCTGAAGGAGGGGGGCAAAATACTTTGCCATGACCAGAGGACCCACTGTGTTGGTCGTCAAGGTGGAAATGATGCCCTATAAGTCAATCAATACAGATCAATTAACATATGTGGCGGAGCTCCAGGAGACAAATTAATGAATAAATGAATGAATGAATGAATGAATGAATGAATAAATGGGTGTAGTAAGTAGTCAAATGTTCCTCCTCTTGTTCTGAATATTTAAATATAAATATAAGTGCATGAATAAACAAAAATTAAGTAGTAAGAGAAACTAAATGAATTACTCAATAAGTCAGGTAATTCTTAAAAGTTATACGCTTTAGATGACAGCAGTTTATTCTTCCTCAGATAAGTTTTAGTGAATGATGTGATCATGTTGTTGTAGACATCTACAAAGATCTGGATGGAAACCAATAGGGTCCTTTGAATGGCTGTAAAAAAAACTATTAAGTTGTATGGACCAGGAAAGCGAAATGGAACCAAACTCTGTACAAAAAATCTTGCCATTTAATGTAAACTTCCCTTAAACTTAAGGGAAGCTTTAAGTCTGGTGAATTAGAGCCTTTATGTCGACTTTAAAAGCAGATCCCAATCATTGAAACAAGATAAAAGTGTGTACATTTAGTGAATACACTGCGATGGGAATAAGGGTTGGAGGCCTGAGACACGACAATGTACAATACACACCTGTGTACCACCAGAGGTCAAGTAGCCTACCCCTCTGGGAATCCTTGTTGTAGGCACTCATCTGACAGAAAAACCTTATCTAAACTAAATCTTCTTTAAGTCTAGTCTACATCCCAGCCGACAGAATCATACATCACTTTTATTCCACCTTCCATACTGAGAGAGGAGCTGCAACTATCATAACACCATATACTCTACCTGAGCAGAAACGTCTCTCAGGCTGGTCTCTCCCTTTCCGGAGGGGTGAAGCATCGCCGAGGAGTTTACGATCAGATCCAGCCGACCGAAGCTCTCCTTAACCCGATCCGCAGCTCCTCGGATGTCCTCCTCTCGGTTCACGTCCAGCCTCAGGACCGTCAGTCTGCCCGGGTGTTGGCCAGCCAGAGCCCGCAGCTCGGCCGCTCCGTCCGGGTCTCGGCATGTCGCTACAACGGCAGCGGAGCTTTTGCTTTTCAATATATGTTTGCAGAACTGAAGCCCCAGTCCTCTGCTGGCCCCTTGAATGAGTGCGATGGGAGCAGACATGACAGTGATGGCATAACACTGGAGGCGAATGGACAGAAGTAGTATTTGCTGCCTTCAGGACCACCCCAAAACGTCGTAATTTCGTTTTTTCTTTTAGCAACATAGCAAGGAAATATATTGACAAGTGACTTTCAAAAGGAATAAAGGCGAAGTTTGACTCTTTAGCAGCGCCCAAATGTATTTTTAAATTATAATTTGTACGTTACTCTGAAAGACATTCCAAATGATAAACTAACGAGGAGAACCTAAAGGCAGCATGTTTCACAACAAGCAGTACGCCCTCTGTCTGTAGGTCATTAGGAAGGCACTTACACAACTCTGCCCTGTGCAGTCTATGTAATGCACTTTGGTCCTTTCATTGATGGATTGTGCATACTATTACACAATGTGCTGTCCTGACACGATGTGGAGCAGTTGGCCTGATATAAACAATCACGGAGAAAAACAATCAGTTTTTAGTTGGAGCGCTTTATTAGATTTTTTCCAACCCATCAGCCCTTTTTCCGTCTAGGAACATAATCTGATGGGTCGTAGGTTTTGTGTGTTACATGCAACATAAACAATATGAGGCAACAGCAATCAGAGATATCATGATATCTAAAATGTACAGTGTTTGTCATTGATTTAACCACAGACTGAGCAGAAAGATTATTTTCTCCTGCCGCTTCATCCTCCACTCCAGCAGGTGGCGGTAACTTAGTGCCAACCGCCAATGCGGGAAGAAAGTGAGATTGTCATTAAATTTAAAATAAATGTAAAATGAACCAAATTATAAATATTTAAAAACACATACCCAATACACATGTTGTATTAACAGAGCATAAGGAAAAGGTTATTTTACACGAAATCCACTCAAGCCAAAGCCCGAAGAAGAACCCGTTGTTGCCTAGCAACTGGTGGAAGTGTAGCGTCAGCTGGCTAGCTAGGCGGTCTGCTAACACATGGATTATGCTTGATTATGCTCGATTATGCTCCATAAAACAGCGTATAAATGCCGCCGAAAAGAAAGGGCCCTTTGCAGCTTGTCCAGAGGGAAGTGGACGAAATCAAAAAACAGGTTGGTCACAGAATGGCTCGTCTTGCCTAATTTTAATAGAAAAGCGGAAGTGCCCTGTGCTAGCATAAATGCCTACAAACAGCTGAAGATGAAACACGTTTGGTCCTCGGCCACTTTTCATCAAATATACCGAGCAGTACTGTAATTTACTACAACAAGGTCTTCATTTTTCCATTTGATTAGCCTGTTACTCCCATACATTTGTTTCAGTGGGCATTTTAACGTTAAACAAAAGTTGAGTATTTCCTAAAAGTAAGTGATGTTTTGTTAATGAAGTGAATGCCGAATCATCTCGAATGAACTCAGAAAGAGGCCTTATGACTTGTGCAACGATGTGCTCAGTCAAGAGGTAGGGAAACGTTAAAAAGACAGATTTTAAATGAGGGTTGGTCTGCGGGATAGTCGAGCCTATGAGCAAGGACAGGCTCATAGGCTGGTCTGCAGTTTTGTTGATCTGAGCAATGTGGTTAACAGAAGCGCATCATTAAACACCAAGTATATAGACTATAAAACGTACAGATGCAATTCAACATCGACTGCACATTGGTGTCAGCACCTCTGTGTTCCCTGTTGATGAATCTTGTTGTTCTTCTAATCCAGGTTGACAGTCTGGTTAAGGATGTGCAGAGTCAGGATGGATCCTCTGAAGAGGCATTTCGGAGGTAAACAGCTGTGACAGAGCCACAGCAGTGCTTTCTAAACTGCTCTTATTCACTCTAACTCTAGGACCCTCATCCAGGCTAGCGCTGAAACTGTTAAAACTAAACTACATTTTTCCCCCATCCCGTCAGGATTTAGTTGATTTGCAGTTTAGTTTGATTTAGTCTTTTTCAAGTCATGCTTTGAGATGTAATTTGAGTCTAAATGTCCAATTCCAAACAGATGTCAAGAACTGCAGATGGCGACAGAGAAGACACTAAAGGCACTGAATAAACTGACAAAGGTTAGTGCTGCACAGTTAGAAAACTTGTGAATTATTCTCTGGTTATTAAAAATCTTCTTCATAGTAAGTGGTGTCGTAAATGACCAAAATTGCAAGCGACCAATGCTATTTCTTATCCTATATCAGTTGTTTGTATCCTGAAAATTGACATTATTTATGGTCCCAAATCAATATATATTCTCTGAGGCAGAATTTCCATTATCATGGGACACCTATTACTTATTTAAAGCCAGAATGTTAATTTTGTTTTCGAGTTGGCAGTTAAGTACTAAGACAGTACTGTACATTATTTATTCAATAATATTGGTGATATCTGACTGTTTTTGTACATTGTTGTTCGAATATCAGACAGTCAGATATCACTAACAGGCCAATTTTTGATTTCTCAATAATGTCCTTTACAACAGTCTAAACTTACTCTATTTTGTATTGTTTTGATCTTTTAAGACTCGACTTAAAAGTCTAATTTAATTAATTTGTTCCTTATTTTTTGAGGCCGATGAGCTGGCTCCAGTGGGGAACTATGATCAGAGGAAGCAGGAAGAGGAGAGGCGACTGCAGTACATCTTGGAGCGTATAAACACACTGTCTCTGGAGCTTTCACCACCAGGACCCAGTACTGCTGCAGGGTCAGCGACCTCTGTGTTCACTGCAAAGAAAATATGATCGGGGTCCTTTATGATTGCTTTATTATTTACATACTTGCTCTTTGTTACCCAGTTATTATATGTATCATATTCTTTGCTGCAGTGGCTTTATTATGGTTATATATATACTATATATTATATTGAATCTGCATTTATCTTTTGTAGAGGATTTGCACTGAAACATCAGTTTCAAAGTACTGATTTAAATTTGTCACAATAAGAAAAAGAAAAATATTAGTTTGATATCTCATCAAAATCTCAACTTTTTTTGTTTCCTTCCTTGTTTCGATCCACAGCGGTGTTTTAAAGAAAGATAGTGAGGATGAGGATGATGACAGCGAAGACAGTAATGACGAAGATGTTGACAATGATGAGGATGAGACGGCAGCTGCAAAACCGCGTTCTCTGTCAGGTTCCCGCTTCTACACAGTGCTCAGTGACTTCAGAGGAGAACAGGAGGGAGATCTGTCTGTCCAGGTGAAGTACTTCCTGTTTGAGAAACACAGACAGGCTACAGTTCGGCAACATGCAGGGGTCTACAGGAGTGGTTAAAATGAGTAGGTGTCCTCATGCAGCCTAGGTAGAATGAATGTATCCGTTTGACAAATTCTCTCTTGACTCTTTCAAGTCAAGTTTTGTAAATTTTAAACCCAAACCCAGGCTCAGGCCTTTTAAGTGACCTCTTTTTTCAATGCTGCATGTACCTGGATATGGACAGTGAGGAGGAAATCTGAAGGTGTAGGAGCTGAGGCCTTTTTCCTTGTTTCCCTGCTGCTGTCTTCTTATCATGATGTCTAAAAAACCTTTTCAAAGCTCCTTCTAAAAACGAAGGAAGATAATCAGGAAAGTGTGTTGACTTGATTTAAAAAGACTTTATTTTTTTTCTCGCATCTGGAAAATTGCATTTCATCACATGAACAGAAGAGGGTGCTCATGCCCTCCAGATCATATGCCCACAGCACTGCAGGTGCAATGAGGGGAGAAAAGGCGGCTGGCAGGGAAACAGCATGAAATCAGCTACACACTTTTACGCAGAGAAAGCCTGCTTGTTAGTAATGCATAAATAATGTTAAGTTACACAACTTTGTTTGTGTCCCTGCTGTTTTCAGAGGGGAGAGGTATTGAGGATTATCAGGACAACAGCAGATGGATGGTGGCTGGCTCAGGACAGTAAAGGCAACAGTGGAGTGGTTCCAAAAACCTACCTGAAGGTACACAATCTGATAAACATCTGCATCACAGTCAAGCATCCAACAGTTTGACTATTACTGTCAATTTAAAGATGCATTCAGCTGGAGAAAATGTAGTATAAAATATTGATTGTGGACATGAGAATACAACTAACTGTGGTGTGAAGAGATGTTAAAGGTCCAGTGTGTAACATTTAGGAGGATCTATAGGCATAAATGGAATATATTATTCAGGTATGTTTTAATTAGTGTCTAATCACTTAAGAATAAGCCCTTTTTATCTACAGGGATAGCATGTCCTCTTTCATGGAGCCCGCTCCGTCGAATATCGTGTTTCTTTAATAGCCCAGAATTGGCAAACCAAACACTACATCTAGTCTAGATAGGGCCAATTTTGTGGCCACCTGAGTTTCTCTTACACGATTGGAATGGGAGAGTGAGGTGAGGGGGTTGTAATTTGCAGCTGCACTGCTAGATGCCACTAAATCCTACACACTGGTTCTTTAAGCTTTGCAACGTTTTCCACATTTGAACCAACAACCTTTCAATAACAAGTCTGCTACTGTACTTTCTTTGGTATTTGTTGTCTTCTCTCTTTTCTCCACACACTAAAGTAAAATAGAGTAAATGGTTTAAAGTCATATCCTCACAGAAGCCTCACATATACCCAACCTTCTTGTTTGGTTCATTTTAAATAGAATAAGTATGTTACTGTAAACTGGTGAAACTTGGGATCTTTAGCAGTTATAACCACTCACTTTTCAGATTGGATCTGTTGTTGCTGATGATGATGATGATGATGATGATGATGATGATGACGATGACGATGACGTTGAAAATGAAGAGGAGTATTCGGAGGAGGAGGAAGAGCAAGATGGTGAAAAACTGACGGATGACAGACAGAAACAGAGGTTCTACATTTTATTAACCTACTCTTTGTAGATCGAGCGTTGTGGTCAAAAGGACCCTCGTCAGTGGTTCTGGCTAATGGCTAATGGCTAACGCTTATTAATTATCAAGTCAATTTGAATTAGCATTCCGGCATTTTGAGATAATTGGGACCCCCGATGTCTGCGCTCACAAGGACAGACTTGTTCAGGCAGCCTTGTCAGTGTGGCTGCTGTGGAAAGATGTTAAAGCGAGTTTTGGGAAGGTGGTGTCAATGTTGGTGTCGAGCCCTGTACTAACTCTCATGCATCCTGCTGTAAACATAACCCTGAATTTGATATAGAACAGAATAGAATACAATTATACATGATTTTTATTTTGACATTATCTATCGGTCGACCACTGATTTGAATTCCTCTCTTGTTCAACAGCGGTACTTCACATTCCAACTGGGGAACAGTCAGAAAGGCTTTGACTGAGGTAAATATCTACACACTAAATACTGCTTCTGAAACTGAGGCAACTGTTGATTTTACTATCAACAAATATTAAATCCACTGTTGGGAATTGCATAAACAATATATTCATGGTTTTAACTGTGTGTGTGTGTGTGTGTGTGTCTGACAGATTGATGCAACAGATGTGCTCTCTGCCATGGGGGCTATACCTTCAGGATTCAGACCATCAACTCTCAATAAATTGCTGGTGGAGGAAGGTAATTACCGTATATACTCTGTAACAAGCACAGTAACATACAACTTATGCCAATGAATTAAGGGTTGTGTGGTTTCAGAAGCACTAACAGAGTTACTGGCTCGGCTAACAAGTCCTGATTACAGCTGAATCCCATCACACTTGTTCATTATAAATTAATCTGCCAGTTATTATCTTGATTCATTGATGAAGCATTTTTGTCGATAAAATGCCAGAAAATTGTAAAATGCGTATCAGAATTGGCATCCAACAGTAAAAAACAAAAAAATCATAAATGACAAAGGACAGCAGCTAATCCTCATATTTAAAGAACCAGTGTGACAATTTAGTGGCCTTCTAGTGAAGTAGTAGCAGATCTTGACTTTTAAGCAGCCTGTTTAGCATTTTTATTCTAAAAATCATTATTTATTATTAATAAAACTTGTTGTTGCAGATTAATTAGTCTGTTGATCAACTAACTGTTTGAGCTTTTGCAATGTAAGGGGTTTTAAAAAATAATTTGTTGGGTCTTTAACTAATAAATACTGTGTGATTAAAAGGCAAAGCTGTAACTCTTTGTGTCTTTTTCTAGGTGTAACATACAGAGGAAGTCACTATATTCAGCCTGAGCTCAGCCAATCACAGCTCTCGTTTAGTGACCTCTTTCTGGACCCAGACAGTGGCAGGGTGAGACAGTCTGTGTGTTATTTAGATGATGTTTTCCGATTTTTGCAAAGCATCCAGTCATCAACATGCTTCCTTTATAAAAACATATTTTATGTTAACTGTCTCCTGCTCTGTCTCGTAGGTTCGTGCTCGGCAGGTCAGGACTTGTGTTTGTTTCACTTTGTGGAGCTGCAGAATGATTCCTACACCTGGGGTTGGAGTTCAGGTCCTCAGCAAACACATCCGCCTCTGTGCATTTGATGGAACTCAGGTGGGGTTATTTCAACTCTTTGCCATGCTGTGCTTCCTGAATTTACCCAGGTCTCTGCAGTGTGAAAATGATTTCATTTATTCATTATTAGCTTAAATTAGCTTATCCATTTGCAAACTACCTGCACTAGATTTCTCTCATCTCCTTGATTTGTTTGGAAGAGTTTTTATGTATCAATTCCTTTTGGCTTCTTAGCTTATTCATTGACACTATACTATACGTTGTTCTTAGACTAGAGTTGCTTTCTCTCTCTCTCTCTCTCTCTCTCTCTCTCTCTCTCTCTTCTCTCTGTTCTACCCAATCCTTTTTTAAAAAATGAGCTGTACTTGTGTTTCAGGTGTTGAGTAACATCCACACAGTGAGGGCAACCTATAACTCCAAGAGCCCCAAGACCTGGAGCTTCTCTCCAAGGGTGTGTTTACAGTGTTGATGTTTTCCTCTGTTGTCTGGTAAGGTGATGTGAACTTTGCTCAGAATATGTCCTGCAGTCAAACTCTGATGCTTGTTACTGAGATGCAGTGCTAACATTAGCCAGAATCAGCACCTGAAAAGCTCAAAACCATTACACATTGTGTGTGTGTGTGTGTGTGCTCCAGATGACAGGTATCCTACCCGCCCTACTAGATGGAGACTGTTTCTTACGCTGCAACTCTGCATCTCCTGACCTCGGTATCCTATTTGAACTGGGAGTCACCTTTATACGGAATGTAAGGACAAGCACACGCACATGTGACTGTGAAGAGATTTAGCCAGTGCAGATAAGATCGCGGAATCACACAGGAAGTGTGTGTTTTAGTCTACAGGTGAGAGAGGGGACCTGAGCTGTGGCTGGGCTTTCCTTAAACTGACCGATGACGCTGGAAATCCACTGCCCAACAGGTACACACACAAAAAAACACACATGCAAATAAATCACTGTATGCAGTTTTATATCCACAAATTGGCAAAAGACACTGTTTTGTACCTGCATTCATTTATGCTGCTTGCCACATATATACTCACAATGTGTGCATATTAATATACACAAACACAGTCTTATACTGTAAATAGACACACACACAGTTAGATCAACATACATACACATACAATGCACATTCACGTGTTTATTTTCCCAATTATCCATTATTTTCTTTATACCGGTTTGAAAGAATGGGTAGCTGTAAAAATGTAACCTACCACACCTACTGTATGAGCGATGTGTATAAAACAGGGATGGACTTTTATAAATCTGCTCTTAACTACTACTACTTTAAAATCTAATCCAATCTAACCTGTGTGTAGGACCTATGAGCTGCCAGTGAACGGTGGCACTCCCTATGAGAAGGATGTGGCAGTGGAGGCATCAGTCACTAGAGGATGTAAGAGGACACAGCAGAGTCAACACTCGTTGCCACATCAAGTCCTAAGCTGCTTCACAGAACAATCCAATATGTGATTGTAAAAAAAATAAAATAAAAATGTTTTCTTAGTATTTGTTGGAATGAGATAATCAGCAGATTTGAAACTGGCTCTGTACATGAAAACATTTTGCAAGCATTGATTTTAAATGTAAAAAAAAAAAACCCACCCCTCTCCTGTCAGCTCCAGCTGGTGTTCTCCAGCAGATGCTTCAGGCCAGACGGCAGCCCAAACTGATTGTGAAGTTGAAATCAGCCAACAGCCGGACCAGAACGCAGCTCAGGTGGGACATCAGCAAGGAAAAACCACAGAGCTCGAACTGAACGTGAACTTGAACGTGGATTATGTGATCTAATTCAGTAACAATAAATCATTACTAGATTTGATCATCACTGGACATTCCTGGCTCACCTCAGCCACATGCACGTGTGTGTACATGCACTGAGGTGCTGTATAAGTTAGTGACAGCTATATTTTCCTCTTCAGTCTTCTTCCAGACACTCTGCTTCACTGTTTGAGCTGTGTCCACCTGCTGGCTCTACACAGGCAGCTGCTAGCTGACACACTACTGATGGACAGGCCCACCATGCAGAATGCAGGTAACACACACCTTCAGTGCCTGTCATCCAAATTGCAGATAATTATAGTTCTCAGGAAGAACTGTCTCTCTCTTTCAGATCTGATATGCAGTCCTATACTTTCTACCTTCCCTGTGCTGCTGGACCAGCCAGACCTGCTGGATGCTCTCAGGGTCAGTCATTTTTAAATGTAGCCCTTGTTGCCTTTCAAATGGGTTCAATGCAAGATCACAGAAACTTTACTGTTGAACTCTGCTTGCTGAAAGGTCATGTGTTTTTGTCCTGACATTTTGAACAGGTCAAAATGAAGAAGCTTTAAAGACAGTGTCTAGACTTTGAAATAACAGTGATGACATTCTTCCAGTTAAGAGCTTTTAAAGCAGTGCGAAAAGAACATCCTAAATACATCACTGCTTTTAAAATCATTGGATTTATAAAAGGACTCAGTTGCTGTGCAGAATTTAAAATGAACATAACTGTCGTTTTCTTTCAGAGCGCCTGGCTGGATGCTGAGACCAACATGAGCAGAGTGCAGAAGGTCAGTGTATGTGTGTGGGTGTGTGGGTGTGTGCAATATCAGTACAGACCTGTAGAGGGCGTTGACAGTTTTACAATGTGTGCATCCCTGAATGGGCATCCAGTGCATATTGACCAAGTGTTTATATAAAATGTTCCTTCCCCCCTGTGTGTTTGCAGAGAGACTTCTCCTATTTAAAACAAGAGTTCATCAAAGTCTACATGTCGTCCGTCTATTTCCTCCTCCACTCGCCCTCGCTGCCCTCTCATCGCTGGGCGGACCCTCCCTCAGAGGAGCAGCGGGCCAGAGTCATCTACGCCACCTTGGATGCTCTCAAACACACCCAATTCACAACCAGCCAATCGGGAGGCCCGGAGGTCTTTGTTGACCCAATGCATCAGCATCTTGCCTTTGATGTCACAGAGTTGACCTTTGACCTCCTTTGTGTGGCGCGGTAATGTCACACCACTCAGGGGGAAGATACAATTTGAAGTTGATTATCTTTTTTAATGAAGACAATTTAAATGAAGTGCAAATAAAACCCTTAAATGTGCCATAAATACATTTTGGAAGATTTTTTAAATTTCTAAACTTCAAGAAAAAGGCTGGTGATATTCTATATTTTGTTACTGTCAATAAATCCTCTGAAAGACAAAACCGAAAAATGTATTACTCCATTTCTCAATACTTTCCATCTTCCCCAGCCTGTATGTGGCTCTCAGTCACCCATTGTTGCTTACTGCAGAAGTAAATCTTTAAAAAGGTAATGAAGAAATACGCCTATATTGTTATCATTGACAGTAACATACATCAAAATATACAACATATACTCTTGTGACAGGAAATAAAGTGGTCTTAGTTTTGAGAAATGCTAGCACGGTGCTAACACGCACATATCATACAGCATATACACAAAGACGTCTTTGTGTCCTTTGTGATGACATGAGATACTGATCATGGCTAATTAATTTCAAACAGTGTGAAATAAAAGGTTGAGCAAATGTGGACAAGGCTAACCTCATCATCAGAGGTCACATCATTGAGTTCAGTTCAGGAATGAGTTCACTCTGCTCCTCTTAAAGTAAACACTAAAACAGGTTACAGTAATAATGGAGGAACACTTTGTACTGATAGCAAAACCAACTGTAATCGAACCAACAGTGACGTTATCAGCATGTTTTGATTCTGCTATTTATCCACAAATTGTGTTCTTTTTTAATAAACATTTTATTAAAATAATGACTTGTTTTTAATGTACCAAGCTCTTTTTTTCAGCACTGTCATCTGACTGGTCTCTGAGCTGCTCCATTCACCTCCACCCATTAGTTCAACATTAGTCATGTGTGTGTGTCTTTGTGTGTGTGTGTGTAGTGTAGAGTTACAGGGCATAGGAGTTAATAATTAGTCTGCTGTCGTCTTTTTATAGCCTGGTATAAAAGGACAAGAGCAGTAAGAGGTTGGCTCAGTGTGGATGCAGACATGCTCAGATTATCAATCCATTGTTATTAGGATGAATCAACAGTTTTAATATACGTAGTATCTGTTAGCTTTACATTCATGGAATTTAGAATCAGCCAAAAATCTTTGAAAGGCATGCAGGTTATGTAATCCATCTCAGGTCAAGACTCAGCCTTAATGTTAACATGTTATTTATCTTTTTTTAGTGACTTAATATAGTTTTATATAGATATTAATACATATCAATAATATAATCTAATATTATAATAATTTATAAAAATATTGTTATTTTTTACTAATGGCTTCATTAATTTAAACTAACCCAATTAAAGTAGAAAACAATTCTGTGTTAAAATAATGTATTTCATTTAGTGCAAAATAATAGCAAAGGTTGACAAGAAGAGAGCAGGTTTTGGGCCTTAATTTGTTGTTTGGCTATGAACAACAAAAACGAAAAATGTATAGAAACTGCAGTTTGCATTTTTTGTTGAGTATGATTTGAGGTTGAGACCCTTGCTTTAAATTCAGCACACATTCCCCCCACAACACATCATAACTTAAAAGAATAGTTTGACATGCTACAATGTTTTTTGTATGGGGTAAATAAAAGAGTAGTAGTTGTGAGTAGAGCTGCTGATAGAGCCAGACCAGCTGCGTTGTCCTGTTTACAGTCCGTTTTCATATCTTAGACAACCAGCTACTCGTAGTAGCTTTACATTTACCATACAGTTATAAAAAAGGTATTAATCGTCTCATCTCACTCTTGGCAAGAAAGCATATTTCCCAAAATGCTGCACACCAGGTCACAACCCACAGACACTCTTGTTTGCATTACTTATGTCGACCCACTAATATTCATTCTCTAACATCCCTTCAGACTTCAGCAGTACAGGCCACAGCTTCTTACCTTAACCCTAAAATCCAAACATCAACATCAAACAACCTCCCACTCAACTGAGGACTGACTAATAAAAGACCTCCATATCTCATGTCCCGAAACTCAGGTCATCTTCCTCAGGGCGTACAGTGTTTGGTGCAGTGTTAGCTGGTGAATAATGAATATCCTGTATTTCCACATTCCAATGCTGTTACCATGGTGACGGTGCCTATAGTGACCAGAGAGTGTTGTTTATTGTTGGAAAAACAGGGTAACCATCAGGGTAATAGTAATGGAATAGCTACAGGTAGCAGTAAACAGGGGGGGTACTTAGTGTGCATGAGGTTAGGGCTTCTCACTGCTGCTACAAACCAGTTTTGTCTGAAAAACACCACACCAGAATGATGAATTAGTTCTGTAATTATTTATATTTCCAGCTTTTAGCTAAGTCTCGATAGGCATAAGAAAAGCCAATTGGTGCTACATTTTAAGACTCACTTTACAGCCAGTACTCAGATTTGCATCAAAAAGTTCTACACAAATTTCAACACAGCCCACGGCACCCTCCAACTCTACTGATGGCAGTTTACTGTTTTTAGTATATGGTCACATGTATCAGCCTCACAAGTTACATTTTCACTATAACAATTATTATTATTATGTATTCATCTGTTTTTAATTAATCATTTTATCTTTATCTATCTATAAATTACTCATCACAGGTTACCAGTGGAAACATTTCTTAAATTTGCTTATATTGTTATCAATTTAGTAAAAGAAAAGCAAAAGAGATTTTGTTTAAAACTACATGAAAACCAAAAGAAGAGCAATTTATTAAGAAGTTGTAACCAGCAGATGTTAGATATTTTTCTCTTGATAAATAACTTAAATGAATAATCGATATATCATTGATGAACTTGGTTTATTTAACCAAATGAATAATAAATCAGTGCTATTTCCCTAAAGGGGGATTGATTTGCACTGTGGGCACTGAACAACAATGTATGCAATAAAAACAATCATAACGAAAACAGAGAACATTAACAAACACACTGCAAGTACATCAAGTTAATCTACTTTATTGTTAAAAAAACACCACTGTTTGAATGAGATAAAGCCTCGTGCAGAGGTGGTACACACATTATTTACTCAAGTAGAAATACAGATAGATAAAAAGTATTCAAAAATAATACTCTGTTAAAAGTAGAAGTACTGATTCAACTTCTTTATTCAAGTAAAGGTGAAAAAGTACAGGCTCTGAAATAGCTGTTTTTGTCATGTTACGCCAGCAATGCATGATATGCACCAGTCTTGATGTTACTGAGTATAGATATATATATAATTCTCCTCATAAACTGTAGTAACAAGCCTATTTTGAAAATGTAAGGAGTAGAAAGTACAGATATTTGTGTAAAAGTGTAGGGGTAAAAGTAAAAAGATGTAAGAAAAATAAATATTCAAGTAAAGTACCAGAACAAACTAGTTAAGTACAGTAGCAAAGTATTTGTACTTTGTTACTTTCCACCTCTAGGCTTGTATAAGCTGAGTGATCTGTCCATGTTGCAAGATGTTGATGCAAATTATGTATTACTCAATGCCAATTTAAAACCTGAAGAACGTGAAGGAAACTTGATATTTCCAGCCAGCACTTGTTAGTCATAAGTTACATTAATATGTAGAATATGGGTTAACTATGCAGGTGATGTCTGTTCATTAACTTAAAAGCAAACTGAAAGGCGATCCATCTGCAAATCACTAAATATTGACCATTATTGTGCGCAGTGGAATGATACTCAACCACAGACAGAAAACCTCATTGTAAACAGGACTGCTTTTATCACCTGGAAACGCTGAGACGTTCTCACCCAGTTCTCTTTGTGCCTCACGAAGACAATTGTGTCTGAGGAGGAGCAGGAAGAAGAAGAGGGCGAGCGAGAGTAGGTCAAGACCAGTTGAGCAGGGAAGTGGGAGTTTCCAGGGAATAGTTTTAGGCGGGAGCAAGAAATATGATCCAGGAAGCCAAAAGATGTCTTTTGTTTGAATAAGTGAACATCCTTCCATTACACGTCATTGAAAGATAAAAATCAAAAACAGAAAACTGCTGCAGATAAACATGAATTTGATGTTCGGAAATATGACACATGGTGCACATATTCTGTGAACAAATAATACGATAGGTTCACCAGATTATCCTTACACAATATACGTGTAAAAAAGACGGAGTTAACAACATAAAAAGCCTCTTAAAGTACTATCATCACCATTCTTTTTAAATGTAAAGTAGTTTATCATCTCCACTGTAAAATAGCAAATGGTGTAGCATCGACTAGCACCATTACCACCATAAGACACCACTATGAGAGTGATAAGAGTAAATAAAAACTGCTGTGAGCCATAAAACCAAAACGCTGAGCTGCAAGACACAAAAAAATCTCTGTAGAGCTGAGAGAAACTGTAGAGTAGTTTATAATTCTCTGTAGGGTCATCACTAAGCTACCACTGTCACATTACACATCACTTAATATATTGATATACAAATATTTTTAGTGTAACTTTAAAGATACAAAATGGATATGGAGAACTTGAATCTCCATCTGTTCAGAATGCACTGTCAACTCATTTCCCTCTGCTCAATGAGACAGATTTCTCATTTCAAGTTAACAACAGTGAGGATTATGTTTCAGACACGTTGGAGGTTTAATACTGGTAAAGCATTTGTGTTCGTCATCCTCCTGGGAGGTCAGAGGTCAGGTTCAGCTACAGAGCAGATCCCTTGGAGCTAACAGGAATTCAGCAGACAAACAAAAGGGCTTGGACCTGGTTGCTCAAGTGGAAGTGCAGTTTGTGCGACTGTTAGTCCGTCCTACTCACATTGCGATGGAATGATTGAATAAATTTTGTTCTTTTTCTTTTTTTTTAATGAATGAAAATGTGTGTTTTGTCAGTCAGGATATAAAACACAATGCATTCTTTATCATTATTTGTGTATGTGTGCTACAGTGTGTAAGTACACCTGACACTGACAAATGGCCATTGTATTTTGACAGAGCTGGCAGGGGTTCCCATGGAAGTATTTGTGTGTGTTAGTGTGTGTGTGTGTGTGTGTGTGTGTGTGTGTGTGTGTGTGTGTGTGTGTGTGTGTGTGTGTGTGTGTGTGAAGTATTACGGCCTGTAACCAGATCCACAACGGAGGAGCTAGTCCAAGGTGTGTCTCTCTTAACACTGGCCAAACACAACCTGTTGGCTGCTTGGCGAGTGTAGCCCTATTTGTGCATGTGTGTGTTTATCTGGTAAAACAAGCCTGAGATAGTTTCATTATATGAGAAGATAAACTAAACCACCAAAGATCCCATGGATGAATTTTCAAGCGTTTTAAAGTAAATTGAATATGAACTACTGAAAATGGACCTCTTCCTGTGAGATGTTTGGGAAGATGAAGATTGGATGGCTATCTGGTTGGTGGGAGTGAATCTGTGAATTAGTTTGACAATAGTTCAAAATAATTCCAATGGTTCAGAAGATTCCTCTCATTGAATTGTGCATAAAACATTTGTCACAACACATTTCAAAGTTCAGATTTCTGAAATATAGCCAGTGGGGTGCAAGGATTTAAACATGTGATTAAAAGCAGAATTTTATGAAGGAGTGTAGAAAATGTACTAGCCCATATTATATTGGAGTGCAAGAAGTTTAAAGCTGTTAATCGGTACTTTTATATTAACATTCAAACCACTGTGTAATGTGACATGGGCCTTTTATTTCAGGGTTTTTTGTTGCTCCATATGAATTGTAGGGTACTGATATATAAAATGAGGAGAGTGAGTTGCGTGCTACAATTGCATTTTATTGATAAAACGATGAAAACTCTCAATAAAAGGAAATTTTAAGGTTGTGTCAAACTAATTGATGAGGTGATCCTGTCCTTCCACCATCCAAAACGCTGCCATATCAATAAGCTGACAGTTTGTAGTTGACTTGACCAACTGACTTCACAACGAGCTGATTAGCTGTTCAATCAGATGACATGTTTTCTGTTCTAAAACCAGTCGCTCGAAATTTGACACCACCAGCCGCCTTGAGTCGAGCTGAGACAACCAATTCACACTGCTGCAGCGTTTTCCTGCACCGTTCTAAAACTGTTTCATTCCACTGTGAATCTTTGGTCTGAACTTCGCTTTAGTTTAGATTGGGGGATGTGGTCATTAGACTGCTGGGGGAGGTGACTATGAGGTTGTCCTTGCAAATAAAACGGAATAAAATTTCTTTCACTTCAAACAAACCTGTGTTGCCACTGCTTCCTGCTCTTGTATCTGTAAGTTACAGCAAATGTAATAGCTATGATGACATGGAGGTTCTGGAAATCTCTCTGCAGTCATGTCAAGTTTGCTGGAACACATCATCAGAGGGAGTGACCCTCACTCCATTTAGACTTCTTGGTGTCACTGACCTTTAGCTTTGTAGCAACAGAGGGTTTCCAAACACACTTCGGTGACCTTAGCAGCAGCTAACAAATCAACAGGTTGACTCATGGTGTGTCAGCACCTGCAGAACAAAGCAAGTTTCTCTCTCTCAAAGAGACAAAACCCCATATGGACAACATGAAACCTGCTCTTACAGAATGACTCCCTGCACAATATTTCAATTATATGGTTCTGGTTAGTGCGTCATCAGCACAAATCACAAGATACAGTTCATATTTGAAGGCCTTCATTTTATTATGAAATATCTCTTATACTGCAGTTAGCTAGTAAAGAAGTGAACACACGCAGAGGTGATATTGAAGTGAATGAGACATTTTTTATCTTTAAGATTATGTGTAATTTGATCCCGTAGCTACATTATCTACATTAATCTCTAATTTGTAATTCAAATACTCAATACCACAACTCGCCTTGTTGTGGGTATGAAATCTGCAAGCTGTCAACACGTTAGAAAACTGACGTATGTTAAATGAAACTTAATGGTGTTGTTGCAAATGCGATTAGTCCTTGAGCAAGACCCTGAGCTTCTCACTGTTAACTGAGGAAAAATGCCTAAAATGCATCTTCTTGTCAAGCTTCCCATTGGAATAAATGCACAAAAATATGGTAGTACAGTATGATGAAGATTACAGACTGGATCTTTGACAGATTTCATTTTTATATGATATAATATGACATGATATACAGATCCATGAACTTGTATACCATTAGATCTTGCTGGATACTGGTCCTTTTTGTCAAGTGTCAGTGGTTCAGTCTAGAGCCAGGTTATGAAAACCTTTATTTCAAGTTTTAACCACTCAGTGTGCAGCAACTCTTCTTTATACACAGACAATTCTAAAGAAAAAGAATCCACGCGGTCTGTCCGACAGGTGATATCTGTACAGTGCAAAGCAGAAAACTTTGTAATGAGCGTTTAGCAACAGAGATAAAAATACAAACGGGTGCGTGCATGTTGTTATTTATTTTGTGGCAACACAGCAGACCGATTGATATTGAATTAAGACAGAGATAAAAAGAGTCGTCCTACACAATAGGTTTTGTATATTGTGCAGAGTTTTAATCCTTCAGCCTGGAAACCATCACGCTGTGTTTGACAGTTTGACTGGGCGACACACTCTGAGACAAAAGGACAATCTACACAATAACTCGTAATGTGATTCACAGCTGATTGACGTTCAACATCCTCTCTGACAAACAAAAAGTAATATTAGCTTCATCTCAAAAGGAAAAGCTTGACATTTAATTACACAATTTGCTTTTCTACAGAGATTTAAATGAGAAGATATTTCTCTCACTGTATGCAAAATGAAAAGCTACCTCGAGCAGCCGATTAGCTTAGCTTAACGCCTCTAAACAGGCAGATATACTGTAACTAGCATGGCAACACAAACAACATATGCTGATCAGCACCTCTAAAGCTCAATAACATACTATAATGTGTTTAATTTGATAAAGTGTGAAAAATTAAAAGTTGCGGTTTTACTGGGGGACTATGCTTTGACTGGAACCAGTAACTTTTTCTGCAATGTCTGCTGGTCAGATAATTAGTTTCTGGTGTCAGGTGGAAAACTACAGTGTAACAGCTGATGAATTAAATCCTAGCCACTCCTAGTGCCTCTCTTTCTCTCTGTTTGCTCACTGCTTGCTCTCTTGTTTCACTCCAAACCACTTCATCTACATGGGTGTCCCGGTTTGTGCTTCCTCATCCTCCTCTAGCTTTCCTAATCACTCATCCAGAAATGAGTTCTCAACCCATTCTCTCCCCGTTAACAACCCAAACTGACCCTCCCTACCTCTCTCCATCCATTTATTTTAGCCTTGAAGTTTACTGAGCAGGAATGCAGTTTAGTGGGTTCCGTACAAACACAGGTAGACAAAGACTTAAAAATGAACATAAAGTCAGGCTCCCATTTAGCTGATAAGGAGTTAAAAGGTGAGACATAATAGCCGTGTTAAAGTGTTAAATGCCATAAAAGACTGAAAATGAACGTAAACTGCTGGAATACAAATAAATAAATTCATGTTTTTTCTATTCATGTGCAGGGCAAATTAACACACACACACACAAATGTATTATATAAATTGAATATGGCACTTCAAAGCCCATTTTACACATCTTATATAAATGTGATGGCAATTTTAGATGCTGGTTTTATTTTTATATAAAAACGTCACAACAGAAATCTTAAATCAGACCTTATAACATTTCCATACCATTTTCAACGCCACAAGTCTGAATTAAATGGTGTTGGATAAATGTAAAGGTTGCAGGAGCAATGTGTCACATATATTACATTAAAATCACTATAATGATTTCTCACATATCATCTGCTTTGCTCAAAGAAAACACAATTAGTTGAAGATGAGTTGGTTTGATGTTGTTAGGGAAGAAAAAGAAAGTTGAAAAACTTTTATTCATGCCAGTGGCATTGATTAATAAGTGAATACACTTTACATAAAGTATGTGAGCAAATAGGAATTACATGAGAGTCCCAACTTCACATCTTGTCAGCTCATACTCAATACAATGAATGTATCTTGTAGTGAGCTTCATATCATTACTTTTCAACTCACCGATCCCTCTCGTGCACAACATGCTAAATATTGCGTCAGCTTTATCTTTTTCGGTAAATGTCTTGTCATGTAGGAAGAAAGCCATAAGGAACACTAATTTAAAAGACACTTATATGTCTTAATGGCAAAAAAACCCCCATCATATTAACAGCAATGTGTCTAATGTGTCCACTTGTGAAAAGGGCGACCTTACAGGTTGAATATTAATGACACAAAGAGTAACAATTTACTGGTTTGAGTATTGAATGTACTAGTTTTATAATATCTCTGTTATAATGAAATTCTGCTGGAAAAATCCTTTTTGGGCCTCAGCTGATTTTTGATGCGTCGTTTGAAAATGTACTTGCTGTGCCATATCCAGCTCTGTCACAGCATGGATGTATTATAAGGCAATTTCCTGAGCTCCCAAACACCATTGCTGCTTTTGTGCCACTCATCCAAAACAGTGTTGCTGAGGGGAAACTGAGTCTTGTTTGGGATTACAAAACAATCAACAAGTACCAAACTGAAAACTGAAACTACTGTGAAACCGCATTACAATAATCACTGTTACTAATTCTAATAATGCTGAACATAGAACATTGTATTTTTATTTGCATACAGATTATGTAACAGGTTATATGCTTTTATTTGTTAACCAAATGAATGATGTCACTGAGACTCCCAGATCCCACATAAACACTGCCTTGCCGTTAGGTAGTCAGGTAGCTGCCTCATAGTCACTTTTTTGTGTGCATGTAAACTGGCCAGCGCCATTTATGGAGGCACACACAAACACATGCAAACTGCACACAGAAGCACACACACATACACAGAGACATTCTCCCACTTCACAAACAAAACCCAAAAAGCACCTGTCAAACTGGTAGTTTCGACCAGAGGAATGGATGGGTAGGTGGAGTGCAGGAGACATAGAGGGAGGTGCAGGAGGAGAGAGGGGGGAGTGAGTGACTTCCTTTAAAAAGCAGATTAAAACAGGTTACACATCTCATTCTAGAGGAAATCACACACGCATACACAGTGTTTTGGATTATGGCTTCCACCACCTCAGGTGATGTTCTGCCCACAGGCGGCAGGATCTTCACCTCCATTCCTGACGTGTTCTTCATCCCTGAGTTTGTGAGTTTCTCATTTTGATATTTTTTGGGGGGTTCCTCTTTCCCCTTTGGTTTTTTCCCCTCTTCCCTATTTGAAACATTATCCCTTTTAGGCTCTCCATCTTTACTCAGCTTACCCAAGTGAGTTGCAGATCTCATTCCTTTCTCTTTTATCTGCCTGTTTCCTTTGTTCACATTCTCCTCTATCACCCATAATTCACTGCAGCATCATTTAGATAATGATCTTATTTCCTTGACTCTGTGTGCTTCCACATCTTTGCTCCATGAAGGCGAGTCTCTGTTATAGATAGGAATCCGTCTTCTCTTGTTATGTTGGTCAGCAGGCATCAGTGTTTGATCAGTGGAGCCAGCACAGATCAGATCAGCAAACCAACCGTGAAGATTAGAGATTAGAAGAGATAGGTTTGTTCAGGTCTGAAAGTATACAAGATTAAGCAGATGGAACTGGGTAATAAAACAACTCATATCTACTCTTTTTATTAGGTATTGTTGGCACAGACAAGTTATGTCAGTCAGAAAGCTTGGCAACCCGTTCATATTGACAGTTGATCCTAAGGGCAAATTGTTTGTGGTGAAACCCATATTGCCATAGAAACAGGAAAACAGCAACTAAACTTAGCAACAAAAAGCAAAATATCTAGTGAAAAATCCACCAAATATTTGGACAATATATATTGTGCAGTAGTTTTACTGCAATAATAACAGCGAGTAGTCAACATCTTTTGGTGGTTAAGTTCTGTAAGTGTGTGGTACTTTGCAACAATGGGACAACTAGCAAAAATGTCTCCTTTGAAATTAAACAATTTGCAACAGTGTAACAATTCTCTAAATCACACATCTAGACCTGTTCTTCCCTGACGGAATCATTTGACATTTTACAGATACTGAATAATGTTTTATTATTTTATTAGCAGCTTGAAAGTCACTCTAAAGTTGTCTATAATCATTTAAACTACAATAAAGTGTTTTAATTCTAAGGTTTCAATAATTTTGCAATAGTAGTCATCAACTTTTCCAATACCAATATTAAACCTGGACTTTTTTAAGGGACATTTTATGGAGAGAAAGAGGAAATGAGGACACACGCAGATCTGGTATTCCAATCTTGTTGGATCATGTTGGTTTATCCTATTCTTCTGTTCTTGCTTATATTTGTCCTTAGCTGCCTCTGTCCTTGCTTTGGAGGTGAAATATGAGACAATTTCTCCACTTCAATTAAGAGTCAATATTCATATCAGAATATAACACATACAGCTCCTTGATTTCCTAAACTCCTAAACGTGAATATTCAGAAACAAATATATGTGGACTATATGCAGGTTCTGTACAGGGAAGTGAAGATTAAATCAATGTGACACAGGTGGAAAAATAGCTTTAGCTGCAGAGGCAAGTGTAAATCTAAACCAACCATCAACTCACACGGTTCACTTGCTGGCTTAGGTCTTTTTTCTGGCAGCTGGCCAGTGCACCTTTCTTCTGAAATAACCTGCTGATCAGGTATGGAAATGTACTGGTAAGGTTTTCCGACACAAACGTAAAACCATCACGGATATAAAAAAGGGCAGGGAAAAGACAGGCTTGGCAGCTCATTTGTGTACTGCCCAGTGCCATCTTCCTGGAAACAAACTAAATGACTGAACTGAATTTCAAACTAAGAAAGTTCAGATGAGAATTAAGCAAGAAGACATTGACCACACCAATGTCTTTTGCAATCACACAAAACAAGCATTGTCATTTTGTGAAAATTAATTCTGCACTATTCTTATTATTACCGATGTGGCCCTTCACGTGGAAACCATTTCCATTGTTGAATAAAATTAACTAGACTGCAAACAATGGGATAATCCATCTATATAGACTAATGTTTGAGTTGGCATTCATTTTAAATCACCCTTAGGCATGACAGAGGCTTGAGGCTAGAAACGAGGTCCTGGTTTGAGGCCAGCAGCTGTAGTCTGCTTGGATCAGTTACAATTAATTCCAATGGCAAACCCAGATTAAAACCTTTTCTAAACCTATCAAAATGCCCATAAAAAACAATCCCTCTAGCAGCAGCATAATACACTAATCTATTATGTTATACTCAGTTTCTCCACTTGGCTCTAGTATATTTAGCTATTTATTGGCGATACAAGGATTGGATTTGAATTTATGAATCTACTGTGAAGAAGCGCAGCAGGAGAGGTTTCTGGACATTTTGATACATTCACTACATTTGCTGTGACCATGGGTTGCCATTGGAAGTCATTGTCACTGCTGTGAATCCAAGCGAACTAAAGCTGCCGTCCTCTGCGATAACACAAGCTGCAAACATTTCAGAGCCACCTGGCGGAGAGTGAAGATTTTCAAAGATCAATTTTCAGTGGACATTTAGTAGGCTGCAGGCCCTTTTACCTGGAATAGAAGTCTGATATGGAGTAGTAGAGATAAGGCTTATGCAATATTTGCAGATACCACTTCATGTGATAGCTTAAAGTAATGTTTGTTTGAAGTAAGAGGATTGTTTTCACAGTATGTGAACTGTTGCTTCAGTTTTTCTCACCTCTGTATCTTACTTTTCGGGCATCAAAATTAAAGTCGTAAAAGTGAGTGGACTTATATTTTAACTGTTTCCTCACTGATATATTGATATATATTACATATTGCCAATTTGACCTGATGTAATAAAATGACAGAGAATGTAGTTAGAATGTAGTTGTTAGATTTTTGGGTGGGAAAAATACATCAACTAATTCAAAGTAGCAAAACTACCACTTAATTATAATATCAGGGTTTTTATTGATAAAAACCTCCAAACATTGGGGAACCAGAAAGGATGTATTTAATGATAAACGTAGTAAAAACCTTTATATAAGATAGGGAAAGACAAATGTGATTTTACTATGCTAAAAACATTCATATTTCAAAGTAAGATCAACTGTAGCATTGCTGTGTAAGATTTAGTGGCATCTAGTGCGCCAGTTGCTGATTGCAATGACCTTGCCTCACTATCCCATTCCAAGCGTGTAGGGAAAATTACGGTGGCTGCAAAAAACGCGAAAAGCCCCGCCTTGAGCCAGCGTTTGGTTTGTCCGTTCTGGGTAGTTCAACATTGCAGACTCTGTAGCACTCGTTCTAAGGTAAAAACACAATGATTCTCATTTATTTATTTTTTTAAACACACTAAGGAAAACATGCCTAAATTTTATGCACTGGACCTTTCATTTCTTAATTAAAAACTTGGTTTAAACCCATAACCAAATCAAGATTGCATAGTTTCCAGAATGAAATAAACAACACATCTACAGGGGGCGTTTGAGGTGAAGTGATTTAATGTATAAATGTAGAGAAATATTTGAACAGCCTGCAGGTATATTGTTTGATTCAGGGTGTGGCAAATTCTTTACATGTGGTCAGGTTGGTTGCTAAGCTAATAAAATGCATAGTGGCTAGATTATGAATAGACTGTCCTGGCTTTGAACGCACTGTGTTTACACAGCTGAGTGAAACAGCTTTACTGCTTTCATGAGAATTTATCAAAGAAAAGGTTCAAAATGATGATTGGATATCAGGTTAGAGTGACTGAGTGAGTACATTAACCCTTTAACCAACAATTCCCAATTAAAGTGGCAGATGGTCCGTTTTAAGGTTTTGAAGTAGCAATAACATTCATAGTATTGTTTTGGTGTGACTGTATTAAATTGCAGAATGATTTGTTCATGTATTGCATGTTGATGTTTTGCTCATAGACATGCACCCACACAATATATCAAACTAACCATAAAATCATATATTTCACGCACAACAACCATTTATGTCGCCTAAAGGCCTTTTGTTATGTTTACCAGAGTAAATGTGTTGGATTTTTGTCCCCCTGAAAGCTGTGAGGGCCGGTTCTTCATTCTCCACAGTGTAAATCCAGCATCAAGAAGCGGTGGGGTTTATTTGCTGCTGACGTTGTGGGAAATTTCCTCTCTAGAAATTGTTTGTGTGGATCTGAATGTGGCCCCTGCAAGGGTTCGCTCCAGCTCTATTCCTGCACACCTGATACTTGAGGGCTTAATGCTGATTGGTTGAGCTGTAGTGGCGTGTGTGTGTGTGTGTGTGTCGCCCTTAAAAACTAAAAACTAGGACACAATAGGTCTTTTTCACACCTTGTCATATAAGGGAAAAGGTGCAGGTGGTACAAACAACATGGTACTAACAACAAAATGGTTCTGTTCTGTTCAAGTGTCTCAGTAAGCCATGGCAACAGTCAGACGGTGAGCCAGGAGACTGAAATTAAATGAAATTAATCATTAATTTTAGTATTTACACCTATGCTGTTCCCACTGTGACATCTTAAAATGTCTTCCATGAAAAAGGCCTATCCCAAAACAAAGAGAAGGTCTTATTGCACAATATAAAACAGGACACTGAAAGGGAAATAACTTTCCTGTACACAGTATCTACATTAAAGATTTTCAATGCGACTCTTATCAAGGAACAAATGCTAGTGGTTCATGCTCTATCTAAATGTGAAAGACTCTTTCAAGCATAATGTTTGTCAAAGGTGGAGAGAGAAATACTCAGAAAAAAATACACCCAAGAGTGCCAACATTGTGTGTGTGTTGAAAGGGTAGACCTTAGATCCAACCATTATTTTAAAGGGCACTCCAGCCATTTTACATCTGAAGCACAGGAGGGGCTGACTGAAGTCTGAGAAATAGCCAGATGGCTTGGAGACTACACACTTATAACAGAAAACATGTGTTACAAACTGTAGGTGTGGAATTTGAAAGACGTGGGGATTTAGCAGTCATCAAGAGTTAAACGAAATGATGCTGTCAAGTTGCATTATGGGGAATGTAGGATTTATTTTTTAGAGCTTGACCCACTCTAGGGACTAAACGTCAGGATATCTTAGCCTCTGCTGCTTTGATTTTAGAAAAATAATCAACATTTTTCAGATAACAATGTATCAAAAGACAATGTGAAACAATCATTGAAGGGGTCACTTGTAGTGATGAGCCTACAGAGACTTATAACCAGAAGTTTCAGCTCCCCTCAGCTTTATGGAGCTTCATAGCGACTTTGAGTGAAAAGGCTCTAAAAACCCCCCTCAGTCTACTTGTCTACAGTCACAGTTAGCTACTAGCTAGTGAACCTAATGGAGTATTTAGGAGCTACAAATCTGTATATTCCCCTCATGAGATGATAGAGACCAAAAACAGAGCATAGAGAAATTCAAGAGAAATAGGTGGCCAGAAACAACCCTAACTCCAAATAATTGATAATGTTGCTCCGTAACTGATGGATGTGTAAATAAGCAACTCTTTAATAACAAGTGGGCTATGTCATCTTAAAGGTCCAGTGTGTAACTTTTAGGAGGATCTATTTGCAGAAATGGAATATAATAAACATAGTTTTCATTAGTGTCACCTAAATTGTTGTGTTTTTGTTACTTTAGAATGAGCCATTTCTATCTACAGATGCCACGGGTTGTCTTCCATTGAGTCCGCCATGTTGAACCGCCATGTTTCTACAATAGCCCAGAACAGACAAACCAAACACTGGCTCTAGATAGGACCTTTTTAAGGCCTTTAATTTATCATGAGACTATCCATTAGCTAAAAAAAAAAAAAAAAAAAAAAACATTTGAACCTCACCCCCGTGTGAACCTGCAGGTGTTTGGAGGTTTGGTGTGGATCCTGGTGGCATCGACACGTGTTTTTATGGAAAACCCTGAGGGCTGGGTGATGTTCGTCTCCGTCTTCTGCTTCGTAATGACGACACTCTGGTTCTTCATCTTCCTCTGCGGAGCCAATCAAAGCAGCATCTGGCCCTCCCTGGTAAGACACACCCATCACCTGCTGATTGGCCAATAAATAAGTCAACCCTGGATATATATGATGGCCAAAAGTATGTGGATGCCTAAACATTACACCCATATGTTATTCTTCTCATTCCAAATACCAGGAGTTGTAGTATGTTGCTGAAACAGACCAACTCTTCTGGGAAGGCTTTGCACAAGATTTTGCTCCTTGGCTGCAGGAATTTGCTCCCATTGAGTAACATGAATATTAAGGTTGGGCACTAATGTTGAGTGTTAAGGCCTGGCTCCCAGTCGGCGTTTCTAATTGTCCCAAAAATGTTAAATGCGGTTGAGTTCAGGGCTCTGTGCAGGCCAGGCAAGTTCTTCCACACCAAAACAGGGGCCTTCAAAGTTGGAAGAACACTGTCTAAAATATCATTGTATGTTGTAACATTAAACATGTTACAGCACGTACATCCACATACTTTTGGGAATATAGAAGCACATCAGGTCCGTCAAGTTTGGAAAGCAAAAGTGCAAGCAATTAATTAATTGTCCAGTGTGTAAAATTTAGAAAGATCCATTGGCAGAAACGGAATATAATATGCATAACTATGTTTTCTATAGTATTTTAATCTGAAAAAAAGAATCGTTTCGAAATTAGAAAGCCTGCTTTTGTCTGCCTCTGTCTGAAAAGGACCCATTGATTCAAAATTAACTAAAGATTTTGATTATTGAATCTGTCACATTATCATTTTAAACTACACATACGTATTGTGCTAAAATATAAATATATAATAGAACCAGGTATACTTGCCACTCAGCCTTGCTTCCAATTTTTGCCTAGTGGCACTTGTGGTATTACAGTGCGGTCCCAAAAACCTTTTCCCTGTATAGGTCACAATTATAAAAGAGATATCTGTAAAACTGTTGAAAGGACACCTTGTACTGCAAAGTCAATCATGATAATTATATTATTTGATCCATGGAGGTCTAATGTTTGTCAAACTTTCCTCAAGCTGAGAAAAGCCACTTAATGTCAAGTCTATGTGCCGTGTGGTAACTTGCGGGCGGGACCAGCGGGAGATATTAATTGGGTCACATAACCAGGAAGTAAACCTGGAAGATTGAAAACATTTTTGGCTTGTGTGCCAGGCGAGCAATTCTTATTGGACTGGACAGGTACCATCATGGAAGTTTGGTATCTAATTTGATATCTATGTGCTAAAAGCTTGGCATAGCAACAGTAACTAAGGTAGGCAGGGCTTATTGAATAGTCAAAAAATTATAGTTCTGTTTTCTGCCTCTTTTCCCATTTGCTCTTATTCTCTCTGTCTCTCTCCCTGTCTTTGTATCCATCTTTTGCCTCCCTTCTTGGTTGACTCTCCTCCTCCTGTAGGACGTGGGCTATCATTTTGTGGCGGCGGTTTTCTACCTCAGTGCATCGGTGGCTCTGGCATACGTCACCATTCAGTTGGGTGTATTGTCGCCGATTCTAATTGGTGACTCTCTCAAAATCTACAGACTGACCATTGCTGCAGTGGTATGTCAAACACACTCACACACACATACACCTACAGCTCATAGCCATTACTATATTGACATGTACTAAAATAATCAGATGCGCTGTAAGTCAATTAAGACACTTTGGGAAAACACGTAAACAGCATTCTGTGATTGTTCTAACTTAAGTAAGGAGTTAAAGTAGTAAAGTTTGCTTTTTTCTGTACAATGTACAAAGGTACAATGTTACCTATGTAACTGCTTCTATCCAGTTGGATTGTCAGTATTATATATAATATATTATCAGCTTCTCCCGGGTTTGTGTTATCTGCCCACAATTCAGCCTGACATGTTTGGCATCTTTGGAAAATTTCTTTGGATCTCCACTTAAATGTACAATAAAGTTATGTGGGTTTGAATAATGTGTGGCTGTACAGCATAAACTTATAACGACTTAGAAGGTTGAAGATATAATATCAATGTGACTATTCAAATCAAAATCAGTTTATCGATCCCTTTGGTCTCATGAAACGCAGGATTTGTAACACCTCTGTATGTATTTCTCCCTCAAGGTGACAATCATCCATCTGTGTATCTGTGTGTGTGTTTTCAGGTGATGTCCTATGTGGCCACTCTTCTTTACTTCCTCCATGCCATTTTCTCTGCCATCCGATGGAAGAGGTCCTAAAACAACAAAACCAACCCAACCACAAATTAAAGAAAAGAAGAAACCTAACCAGCTGACCTGTCATTGGACTAAACACATAACTTTATTATTGTTGTTCTCAGAGTAACTCCTTTGAATCAAAGTGCCCAAACACTAAATGAATGAATGGGTGGAAAACAAGCAGGTTATTGATGAATGTTAAGTAAAGTAATGTGAAATTAAATGAAATGAACCTGTAGTTAAAGTTCAAATGTGTTTGTCAGAAATAAATGCGATATAAGGAAAGTAGATGAGTGTAAAAAACTAATTCAACTGCAGATTTAATCAAATATCTGGGAGCAGGTACAGCATTATAATGTTTAAATGGAAGAAATCTATAATGATATAAAAAGAAAATTGCACTGTATATTTTTTACAAAATAAGATACATTTCTTAAAGGGTCAGTTTACCCAAATAAGGGAACAATTTATTTACAATAAAAGTTGTTTAAATGTTTTTTTCTGAAGAATATCTACAATAACCAGTTCCTGAAGGTTGTCATTCTGTGAGCACCACAAATTAAATTCAACATGCCTCTGCTGTATTTGTGTGGAGGCAAAAATCTTATTTAAGAGGGATATCACAAATACTGGTCAAATAAACCCCAACCAACTGCATGTTTAGACACAATGGGTAAGAATGAAAAATGTTTTTCTTTTAATTAAGTTAAAGTTCAGATATTTACAAGTCTGTCTTGTTAATTAATGGCTTTACACTGGTTCCAGTTGGGTACTCCATATGCTTAGTACTGTACTATTATAAAGTTGGGGGACTTGTGAGAGACTGATTAAAAAAAACAGGCAGCAAAATTCTGACTTTCAGTCCCTACAATAATGTAAGACAAGCTTCAAAAATAATACTAGATTCTTCGCTTCTCATAATGCAACTTGATAGCATCTTTCATAAGAATTCTGTGGCAAACGCCCACATCTTTCAAACTCCACACCCACGGTTTGAACACAGGAAAATTCACAATCTTTTTGAAGATGTATTACAGATCAGTGATGAATGCCAGACTTTGCAGGAAACATTTCTACAAATCAAAGAGACATTTCACTAAGTAGTAGTATGTTAACCAAGTCTTTTTATTCCATTTTAATACTATCTATTTTCTTTCTTCTTTTTTGAAAGGCTTGGTTTTGATGTATGGTATGGATGGATGTTTAAAAAAATCTAAGGCTGTAAATATTTTGATGATTTCACTTTACAGATGTTTTTGGACATTTATGGTGTAAAATAAATGAATTGGACATTCATTAAACGTCATGGATTTTCTGTTTGGTCAGACTTTGCTTTTCACCTCAGACAAATTCACCTGACCTCACAGCTTAGCTCGCTTCTGACTGGTTCTATAATTAAAACTACTACTGAAATCTGTCCAATGTTGAATGTTAAACAACTATTCTGTGCAAAACATCACAGAGAACACTCTTTTCCAAAACCAGAGTAGACTGAATGATATGGAACATTTAAGACACTTCACACAGACAATGAGGGGTTAACATCCTCACTGTATCTCCCCCTGACTTACCTACAGTGTGCTGTCAGGTAAGTGGTGTTAGTATTACATAGCCCCAGGACACACATTCTCTAGTATGCCTGACTCTTTCAGGTTTCCAGTCAAGAATGCTGCATTTATCACAAATAAATATATATAAACCTACAACTGAAAGAGTGATAGTGGCTTCACAGTTACCCAATAACGTCAGTACTTCATCTATCTCTGCATTTATATATTTAAATCTGTTTGTACATTCGTGTTTATGTTGTAAAGATTTAACTTGCATGATATCATTGTATCACAAAAAAAAAGTTGCCTGGAAATTAGCCTGATTTGCTTGTTTTTTTTTTTGTCTACCTGCATGTGGGCAGCAAAACTACTACATCAATACATCATCACTCACTAATTGTTAATTTAATTAACAACAGTTAATCGATTAAAAGTAATAACAGTTACTCATTTACAGTTGCTTCTTGACATCCAGTGTTCATTCCCTTTTTTTAGCTCTGGTTTGGTTTCCACCAACTCCTGAGAGGAATGTCTTGCTCTTTAGTAACCAGATGTCCAATATGTTCACCGTCTGGTCGGTAACTTTGTCTGTCTTCCATTTAGTGCTGGATAGAAAGTGTAAAGAGTTCAAAAAAACAGTAAAGCATCTAGATGTTCTTTAAAAACTCCTGTTATAGCCCCTGTGTACAATACAAATAGAAGCTGCAGGCACTCTAACACAATGAAAGGACCATAAAGTAAGTATAACCTAAGACAATCTGAACTGATTCTTTAGTCAGCAGCAACAATATAGATAGATAGATAATTCAGCTGCACAGGTTTAACTGTAGCCACAGGGCACAAAGTTCCCCTTATGGTTGTTTCAAAATCCCTTTACAGGTCAGCAGCTCACATTAAACGCCCGGTAGCCTTGGGTGCTGTAAGATGAAGGGTGGTACAAGGAGCTGTTGTGGGAAGGGATCTCTCGCCCACAATAGCAGAACTGGTTTGTCTGCTAACTTAGCTTTGCTATAAGAGTCAGAAACACCTGCTGCTGCTCTGTTAGTTCAGAGGAAAGGGCAGGTCGCTTGCTGTTGACTCGGCACCGGGAGAAGGAAACAGGCAGAGATGGCTGCAACTACTGCTCAGCCTATGGGGAGCCTGCCCAGCGGACTGGGGATATGCACCACGGCCCCGGATATATTTTACCTGCCTGAACTGGTGAGTGGGCAATGACAGAGGACAGAGCAACTGACCTTGAAGTCAGTTATGAAGGGATTATTTTCATTTTGGATCAATGTTTGAAATTCAGCAGTTAGTTTTTTGCAGATTTTGATTAAACTGATTTCATTTTTAAGTATTTTAAATGCAGCAAATTTTGAAATTTTCATGGAAACAAAGGATCTATTTTGTTCAAATGGTATATATCTCATATAGTCATCTATTCTTACAAAATGATGCATATGATACATAACATTAATATTATCTGTAGTTATTTGAAGGGAAAATGGCAATTGGTAGAGACCATATTAACACTTTGTTTTTATCACAGTTAACAGATGAACAAGAAATTAGATATTTTACCCCAAAATATATGGCATTTCTGAAATGAAAGCATATTTGAACTTTTCTGCTACAGCTCATGCTTCTGCAAGCATGATGCGATAACTTCAAGTCGGATGCCATTCACTAAAAAAATACCAGAATTGGTTGTAATTTAATGCTGGTAAATCTCTTAATAAATATAATAAGGTATAGTTGATATTGAATTTTAAACCCGTTAAACAAAAGTGCCATGCAAAAATATGTATTTTGGTGAAATGGGAGAAGATGACACATATTCCTCTTATGGGAGCAGAATGTGCGTCTTTTCAAGTCTCACATTTCACTTATATTGTATCTGTGCCACTAATCTATAAAAGAATGCGGCCAACTCTTCTTCTCCCTGAATGATGACAAAAGATAGAAACTGCTCATATAACCGCTGGAAAAATAACTGCACAGAGGAAGGTGTTTCAGTTTATAATGTCTGATGAGTGAATGTAATTTAGGTTGCTTAGTTTAGCTTTTATTTATCAAGGGAAGGGTTGTGATGAGGACGCACCAATGCCCTGCTTCATCTGTGCAGCAAGCCATGCTGCCACTCAGAGCTGCATGAAAACAAATCTGCACACATTACTGTGGCCAAAAGACTAAAGAGAGCCTAAAAACTGACCTTTTATTAAAGTTTGTTTTGTTTGCAACCATGTGCAAAGACTTCCTTTGGATGTTTGCCAGTTTTAAAGGGCAGAACAATCTCTTCTACTGGCCACTGACTGAATGCTTTGCTAAGAGTACCTTGACGGTTTACTTTCGCCATTAATCTCCTGGCGGTTCCGTTCTTCCACTTGGAGTAGGCAATATGGAAATGTAATGAGAAACTGCTGATGTCGGCCCTCCTGTGAAAAACTCTAAATTGCATTTTACTAAGAAATCTGACACTGTAGTGAAGTGTACACCACCTGTACACCACCTGTTTGCAATGCAAGTCATAATCGAGAATTGGGGAAAAAGTTAAATTATTTCACCTTAATGACAGAATTTAGTCTTAAGAAAATCAATACATGAATGCTAAATAATGTCAGGTGTACAGTATGTTCTTGCACTTTTATCATCAGTAGTTTTTATTTTACCCTGTCAGAGTTATTCTTTTTTCCCCCTCTTGTATGTGGCTTGTTTGAGATTGTGATTAGTATTGTTTTGGTGGCTTGCAGGCCAAAATACACAAGGCTTTAACTTTAATGAATACTTACTGGCATGTTGTTTATACTGTATATACCAGAGGTGTGGACCCACATAAATTCAATGACTTTAGACTCGACTTGACAGCCTGACTTGGACTTTCCCATCACTGACTTGTGAATTCAATCTGAGCCTTTTGAAATGAAAATACATGATACCTTCTCCCGAGCCCAGATATAAATTCCTAAAACAACGTTAACACTATTCATTCATCGCATTCATTAATTGTGAGTTGCAAGACTATGACTTGGTCATGCAAGGTTGCAGGACTGAAGTGCCTCACCCTTTTTATTCCCAATAAATGTTCGATGAGGCAGTGAGTGAGGGTCACACCTTTTCTTTATCCTATTAACCTTTGTATCACACATATAATGAAGTCTAGTTTTTTCACAACAAACATAAATAATCTAGTAAGTTGGATCAATAAGTCATGTATTTGAAAAAATTAAACTTTCTGTCTTGAGGCTTTCTGTAACTCCCTCCCTCATTGTTACTGAATGTAAGAGAAAATTCCTCAGTGTCGAATTTCAGCAGCGGATATGGTTGATCGACCTCTGCAGAAACTGTATATTCTGCTTATTTTGTTAATTATTGTATTGTGTGTTGCAGTAAAACTTCTGTCCTGTGACCATAAAACAGTCAGTATGTGTTGCTGTACCAGAGTTAGTTCAGTAGTCTGAATCATTAAATCAGGTATGTTAAATTGACGCAAAGCCTTTTTAAGATGAACCTGTGGTCGGCACACGCATTGTTTTGGTGGCTTGCAGGCCAAAATACACAAGGCTTTAACTTAAATGAATACTTACTGGCATGTTGTTTATACTGTATATACCAGAGGTGTGGACCCACATAAATTCAATGACTTTAGACTCGACTTGACAGCCTGACTTGGACTTTTCCCATCACTGACTTGTGAATTCAAAGAGTAAAGAGAATTGTTTGTTTAGTCTGAGAGAGATGTTGTCTGCTGATTTAATATTTACTGACTGTATTTTGAATGCCTTTTCATTTTCTTTTACTTTTAAATGTTTTGCTTTTATACACTGTTACACTATTGCAAGATAGTTTGCTGATTCTTGGCCACTTACACTTACTTACTATAGCCTGAAGAAGAGCTCCTGACTTTAACAATACTACATAGATTGAAGCTTAAACTTACTGTTAATACAAATCATACACACACAGTACAATGCAATAATATAAAGGGATTTTTTCCCCCCCAGAAGCATTTGATCCATGTGTAGCTGTGTGAATCGACCTGCGTCCATGTAATGTTTAATCAATAACAGAGGTGACCTATCAAACACGGTTCAAGTCTAAATAATGGTAGTGATTGCTGCCTAAACAGCAAAAGGAGCCAACACTCAGAGGAGTTTTTTCACCAGTTATCACGAGAGAAATCGGAAATCAGATACACGCTTAGGAAGATACCCTCACTGCACACTTCATCCTTTTTTAACAGGCTTCAAAAGTCTTTTGCCGTATCTTTCCCTTCATCTTCTTCTAAACTGTCATGGCCAAGGTGGTTTTAATAGACAAATCAACAAGGGGTTGCAGCATAGCCCAATTAAAGTGAAAGAAAATATGCATGTAAGTCATAGGTCATTTGGGGGAAAACAGCCTGCCTAAGGGGCTGGAACCAAGAGTATCGAAATACATTTCTGCTTTTGGTAGGATTACGTGTCTTCAGGGAATTACTCCACTGCAAAAAAATTTTCATCTTAGTCATTTGAGAGTGACAATGAAGTGGGACAACGAAAAGGAGACATTAAAGAGGAGTTGCACTGAGGTTATGAAGAAAAGAGCATTAGCTGGTAAACTAACTTTCTAAGAAGTCCGAACTATAACTCCAGCCTGTGTTTGTTTTAATATATTTGGTGTCCCAGACGGGTGGGATTTGGTTTGAACAATCGACAGTGTGCAACAGTAAAGTTTGGTGTGATTTACAACTTTTGCGATAGTCACTACACACACGCTGTCTTATTTATATATATTAGGGATGCTCGATATTGGCTTTTCTGCCGATATCCGATATTCCAATATTGTCCAACTCTCAATTTCCGATATCGATATCACCTGATACCGATATATGCAGACTTTTTACACCAAAACTGTTAGGTAACAACATAACAGATCTCCTATTGTGGAATTAACACATTATGCCTAGTTTTATTGTGATGCCCCACTGGATGCATACATAAATGCAACATGGCTTTCCAAATGTAAACACTGTCTGTGCAAAATAAGAGAACAACTTCAACTTTCATTGTATTAATACTGAAAAGAGCGCTAACGCTAATCGCTAGCTGCGTGCTAGCTTTGGTTAATGTGTTTAATTGTATTCTGCACCTGAAGGAGTGCTAATGTAAATTCTAAGCCAATTGTTAGTTTGGTTAAGGAACAGCTCACAGCAGGGTCAAATATTTAAGGTGCATTGCACTTATTTTGTGTTAATATTAAAATCATTCAGCTTTAAATTGTTTGCTTGTTAGCCATGGTTAGCAACCAACCAGTCTAGCGTAGTTGTTGTTGTTATACCTCATCTAGCGCGCGCCGGTAAACGTCCCATGCTGCGTTCATGCAGGCTCGGAAATGCTGAAGCCAACAGAACAAACATCGGTTATAAAAACCTGATACCGATAATTCCTGATATTACATTTTTTATTGAATATCGGCCGATAATATCGGACACCCCTAATATATATGATATGTATATATATATCATATATAATATCTATAAAAATATATGATATATCTCATATAATTCTTTGATATTCAGATTTTAACCATGTTAATAGTGTGACATTCATGGTGCACCGAGGATAACGCCTAGCGAATAAAACATTCATTACTACTTTTGAATGGATTGCCATAAAACTTGCGTGCTTTAGTATTGCAGTACTACATTAATGTCATTTTAAGGTCACTCTAGCACAAACAAAAATCCTAAATCACAAAAAGAATAATACCTGTCCACTCCTTCTGACCACATTTGCAGGTTTTTGGTGGTTTGGTGTGGATCCTGGTGGCGTCGACCCATGTGAACCCACCGAACCCTCTGGGCTGGGTGATGTTTGTCTCTGTCTTCTGCTTTGTCATGACCTTCCTCTGGATGATCATCTTCGCTGCTGGAGGTCATAAGAACAGCTCTGGCTGGGCTGCTGCTGTAAGACCCGAGAGAGAAAGAAACAGATCAGAATGAGAGAAAGAATGAATGAAACAAGAAATAAGAGAAGAGAAAGAGTGACAGACTGTGACCATGTTGTAATATTATTTAATCCATGTGTTTGTGCAGGACTTTGCATACCACGGCCTGGCAGCGTTCTTCTACCTCAGTGCTGGGGTGGACTTGGCTTATATCACCTTTCTGAAGAAACCAGCAGGTGACTTCAGAATCTACCAGATCGACATTGCTGCTGTGGTGAGAACTGATTTCAAGACAGACTATAAACAGCCGTTAATCCGTGCAGTATTTACTGGGAAACTCACATCTATAGCACCTGGCTTCAGTATGATGTTCTTCAGCCTATATTTTTGGAGCCATTTCACCGTTTGACTCTACCGAAATGACACAACGCTACTCCCAGAAACAATGCACAAACAGTTTTGGTGTATACACTTATTTGGTTTCTTGCTGAGAGTTAGAGAAGATTGATACCACATTCATGGCTGTACTGTAAATATGAAGCCACAGCAGCCAGTTAGCTTAGCTTAGCACAAAGAGGGCAGCAGCCTGGCTATGGTTTAAAAGTAACACAATCCACTTATCAGAACAAGCTCACTATTTAACATGTTACATCTCATTTTTTGTCTAACCTTTCTAAAACCGAAGTAGGCCTCCGAAAATGTAATCTCAGTGAGCTTTGCATCTTTATTCTAACTGGCTGCTTGCCCTGTAGCACTGTATAGACATTAACAGTGGTATCGATCTTCTAGCAAGAAAGCAAATAATCATATTCCCCCAAATGTCAAACTATTCCATTAGAAATGGGTAAAGCAAAACAGCTAAATACAATATATCATCATAAAATAACTCTGGAGAGTAATAAACACCATTTTGATGCTCAGAAAAATGCAGATGGTGGATTTCTGCCTTAATCTCTCTTTTGTGTGTGTCTCAGGTGTTTGCCTACGTGGCCACACTCCTCTACTTCATTCACACCATCCTTTCCTCCATCCGATGGAAAAACTTCTGAAGAGCGACGCTGAATCACACGCCTGTGTGTCCCAGCAGTACTGTGCATCCTGTGTGTGTGTGTGTGTGTGTGTGTGTGTGTGTGTGTGTGTGTGTGTGAGACATCAACCTGGTCAGATTCATGATGAATGTTTTAAGCATCATTTTGGGCCATTTAACAATATTAGGCTAAGGTTGAGTGGGAGGGGATTTGTGAAGACGCATTATAAAATGAAATGAAAGCATGAATAATGAAAGAAAATGAAGAGTTGTACCCTAGAAATATATGTTCCTATGAAAAGTGTCAGTCATCATACAGATGTCTTTTTTTTTTTACCACATCATTTTTAGCCACATTTATTACGTAAGAGAAGGTTTCATTTTATAATCTTTTTAGAGAACCATGGAATTTGCTGTAAATGTAATTATAGTAGGCTGAGATGTCATAAAAGAAAAATAGTCAACGTACAAAATGATCACCAGCATTAAATTAAATCTTGTATTTTTATGTTTTTCTCATATTAGCATCCATGTTGAGCCTTGAACATATGTTCTGATGGATTATGTTGCAGCACATTGCGTTTATTTAAAAAAAAACAATCAAAAAAGCTAAAGAAAAGAGAGCAGAGAAACTGTTTCTGCTTGCTTCCAGTCTTCATGCCAATTGCCCTTAATTGAGAGTGACAGCAAAAGGGGGGGAGGAAGAGAGGGGATGACTCACAGCCAAAGGCCACAGGTCAGAGTTGAACCCATAGCCACTGCAGCAAGGGTTAACACTTGGTACACAGGGTGCCAGCTCTACCAGGTGAGCTATCCAGATACCACTGCAACTTCATATTTAATGTACCAAGAGAGTAGTATCAGTCTTCTCATCATAAAGCAAATAAGTATAGTTCCCAAATTATCAAGTCTTGGTTGAAAATGACAGTTCACCAAATCCATTTTTGTTACCTTTATTACATGGTATGTTCTTAGATCCAAACAGTTGCCTCTTGCTGCCATCGGAGCCATATTCCTACCCTGATGAATTGTATGTTTTAGGTGTAATAACCTCTGGCTGAAATTTGTACAGTTTTGCCATTTTTGTATTCTCAAGATTAAAACAAGATCTCAACATGATGAGTCCTTGTTTTATTTTCCCCACTTCCTGCCTCAGCTGTACTTGGTGTTTACTGCTAATTAGCAAACAGCAGCATGTTAACACCATAAGCTGTAATAGTGACGGACATGGCTTTAGACTTCAATTTAAATGGAGTATTTTTTAATTTAATTGTAATTCATTTTATTTTGTTCCTATTACAAATTTGCTGTTTAAAGGACCAGAGTCACCGGGTGCTCAGATAGCTCAACTGGTGGAGCTGGTATCCCATGTACCAAAGCTGAGCCACTGTGGCAGTGGCCCAGGGTTCAAATCTGACCTGTGGCCCCAGAAAAAAAGAAACTCTCTCTTTCAGCTCAATAAAAAGTCAATACAGTATGTAGGCTACAGTATCATTATAAATAAAAGGTAGCAGTATTTTTGTCATTCAAGTACAAACATGGAAAACATGGAATACATCTCTCTGATGGACAATAAGCCACAACCCTGTCTTGCTGGAGCTGATGAAGAGGACATCATGTGAGGCTTGAACTCACAACCACAGTGTTTATAAGTACTGCCCACTGACCAACTGCACAAAAAAAAAAAAAAAAAAAAAACACAGTTACAAACTTTGTGTGAATAAAAGGGTGTTACTGTCACTGGGACCACATTTTTATTGTTTGTGAATTTATTGTGATTTTAAAACTAAAACCTCTATGAACATTGTCCACCTGCCAAAATCCAGATGTTTTTGTTATATTTGTTGTGAGGACACTGTGGTTTGACCTTTAACCCCCTTTAACATGAGCTGTTTTTCATGCTGCACATGCTGTCTTTCTAGATTTTAAAGAGAGAATTCAAACATGTTGAAAGTTTTGGATTGAAATCAGAGACAGACTGTGAGAGTTTTTTCAAATTTTATATCACGCCAGCACCAACATCATTGTCAACGCACACAAAGTGATCACAGGTTTAGTTAAGCTATTAAAGCAAAAAAAAGAAGCTCCAGTGGTGCAATCGGTCAGTGCGCGGTACTTATAAGACAGTACACTGTAGAGCAATGCTGAGGTTGTGAGTTTGAGCCTCACCTGGAGCATTTCTGTATTTTGTTGGACAATATGAATATTCCCCATGTTGTTCAATAGGTAAAGCGTGGTGCTATTTGCTGAACCCACTGTTGTAGTGTCCTTGGGAAAGGCGTATTGTGTGATGAGATTACTTTTGTGAGAGAAAAACTTTTCAGTCTGCCTTTAAGTCTAATCAACACGTGAAAAACAAAATGTTTACATGTGGCACTTTCTGCTCACTCTATGCAGAGCGTCCAGGGAATGTAATAAAAGAGCTTCAACAGAGCACATGTTGGGAGAGGAATCCTTACTCTGTGGCTCTTCCTGAGGTTTCTTCCATTCTTCCCGGTTAGAAGTTTGTTTTCAGGACAGAGGCTGTACAGATTGTAGATCACCTTGAGGCAAATTCTCATTTGTGATTTTGGGCTGCAAATTAAAATTTGTCTTGACCACATTGTCCTGTGTCCCTTAGCATACTAAACAAATAAAAATAAATACATAAATAAAGTGGTAAAGAAATCTGTTGGTGTAATAATTACTGATATTGATTTATTTTATATATTATCTGTAACACATCCATGACTGAAGTGGGAAAACTTCACTGGGAAAAGTCATTTTGTTCTTGATTGTGGCTGCTTTCTACAGTGGTTAACAATCTTGATCCCAATACAATTAGGTTAAAACCCTACATTTAAATAAAATCAGGCTAATCAGATTTTCCTTAGCCTCCCAAGTCCCCTAGAATTTTTTAATTCCAGTCATTCAGTTCTTTGTTCGTACAGAGAATCAGTAGCTCAGTGTGAAGGACACCTGGCTGGGGACAGTCGCCTTTGATGAATAAAGCTGCATTATGTTGATCAAACTTTTACCCGTTCTGTTATGGAGGAAGGACAAGACATCTCTTCTCTCAGAGATCATTAGTTTACAGAAACAACACGCATTATTTAATGCTTCACAGACAGAAAGGTCCATACCACAGTGTTTTTACAGATCTGTACTTTATTTCATTAGCAGACATTTTGCAACAATTCCACACAAATGAAGAAGCAGATTTTTTTTACAGTTAGAAAAGGAAACATTGACATCTAGGATGTTCATATTTCAATATTGTTTGTGTGTCAATATTGGCCTATTAGGAGTATCTGAAGTATTCTGCTTTGAAATGAAACCCTTTTATTTGAGTAACATGTAATTCTTATCCTCGGTTGACAGAACACATAACAATCCTCTGAATTTGGAAATAACTAACAAAAACTGATATAATGCTTGAGAAAAAAATGTTCTTATTCCACACACATTTTCAGCTTTTCTTATCAAAACCAAACGTCAGACACAGCATCTGACACTCCTGGCCTCTATCAGTCCAATCATGTTTCTTGTGGGCAGATCCAGTCACCACTCCCACGCTACCAGATAGTGCGTTTGACTCCTGCCCAGACTGAGGATTTGCCTCCCTGTGCGGCTCGTACGTCGTCATAGTGCAGCCTCGTGTTGGGGATATCGTCCTCAGGTTCTGGTTCAGGTTGTGTCCCGTCTTTAGGACTCGCCACCACCACGGGCAGCAGGCCTCGTTGCGGCTGAAACTCGACAACATGGAGCTGCTTCTTGTTGGCCAGCATGTGGTGTGTTTCCTGCAGAGTGAAAGGAGAAAGACAGGCGAGGAAGAAGAGAGGAAGATGTTTCTGATGCTTTGAACTCAGCAGGACAACTTTTAGCTTCTGCTGATAGTTTTGTTGTTCTTGACTTTTCACTCAGAGAATAAAAGTAGCAGTTAAATATAACTTCTGAAACGTCTCACAGTTTACCGATATGACCTTACCTGGCTGGCTAACCCAGTGAAGAGGGCCCTGGTGATGTTGAGGAGATTTTTAGAGCCTTCTACTTTGCAGTACATGTCCTGTATGCCTATCAGCCTGCATATAGTGATGACCGCCCGGTGGCAGTGCAGACCATAACCTGACAACACAGAGTACAAAAATACATTACTAATAAAAGAATATTTACTTCAAAGTACATTCTTATTTTCCCTATAATTTGTACCAAATTACATGTTTTGTTCCAGGAAGCTTCTTGGAAATGATTTGGAAAATAATTTCTGTACAGTTTCTTACCTTTTTTTATTTATATTTTAAAATAACTATTTTTTGTGTGTTATATTTTATGCACCACTGCACCAAGACGAATTCCTCTTATGTGTAAAAACCTACCTGGCAATAAATCTGATTCTGAAAAATACCTGTAAAACTATAACTATACTTCTATTGTCTCACAGTGTTTATCATCATTATAGCCCCAGCCATATTGAGTAAAAACTCCCTCAACACAAATATCAACCTTTATCCTACCGACTAACTGCTTAACGAATTGAGATGTTACCTTTGTTTTGTTTCTTCATGCGGAGCGTTGTCCTCTTGAACTTTGACTCCATGTCATGATAAACTGTTGGAGAAATAACAACAACAACTGAATTACACTCGCTGGATGTAGACCAGGGAAAGAGAGAACAAACTGATACAAAATTGATACATAATAAACAGACAAAATGATTCCAAAAAGTCTAATTACTTTCGCATGTTTTGTGCCACTTCCAAGTGAAGGCGCTTGTGTTTTGTTATGCATCTTTTCTCCTGTCCTCCCTCAGGTCTTGTGTTTCTCTACCTGCCCACCAGATGTCCTGATGCCAGCCAGTGTCTCCTGCTCACTGGAGCAGCTGTGGTTAATAAGTTATTCAGACAAACGGCCCCTCAGTGGGAGCTGTGTGTTGCTGAACGAGGCCCCGAGAACACTGTGCAACTCTATGACTTGAGGCTAAAATCTTGTGTCACATTACTCTTGATTCACCTCACTGGCTGCCGTCCCTGCATCCTCTTACTTCCAGTTGGAATTTAATGCACTTAATGAATTAGGTTTTGTACTTGGATGCAGCAACAGTGGAAGAAGTTATGGATGGGAAGAATAAAACGAAAGAGAAATGATGAGAAGCAGTAAAATAAGCAGAACATTTGGTGCTCAGAGGACACATCCTGCTGGGTGAAGAAATCTAAAATGCTAAACTAAATGTCACACACGCGCCACACACGCGCCACACACACACGCCACACACGCCACACACACACACCCACACCAGAGGGAGCTGAACATTTGCTGTGGCTGCAGGAGGTCCAGGTTCATTTGGAAGAGAGTGTGTGTGTCTTTTGTGTGATGTGTGACTCACAGATCCTAACAGCCACACACATCTGCCACATTCAAATTTATTCAAATTCACTTTGTGTTGTTCATTTAATTCTACTGAACAGCAGTGAAGCCACATGTGTATTCACATGGTAACCTAGACTGGGGAGAGTGGGGACGCTGGTTCCAATAAACAATTCTCCAACTTAAACCTGCAGCCTCCCCCAATGTGACAAAATGAATCATCTGGTGGACTTAATCCCAGATCTGGATTGACACCAAAAAAACCTGAGTGATTACTGGCCTGCAGGAAACCCGACCCACAGGATTTCAACTTTTTCAGAAATCTCTCGGACTGTCAACCAAACAGATGGGTTTGGAAAATCCAGCAACTTCACTGGCTTGACCGAGCGAGCGGCTAAAGGTGACAGAGGAACGATGACGAAAATGATCTAGAAGCTATCTGACAAAGAAGTAAACAAACGACCAATCACAATGACGGTGCAGACAGGTTGCAGATGGTCGCACGGTGAGAGCTGGCATGTTTCTACAAACTTGCCAAAATTAAACACACCGCAGTTTTGACTTCTCGTCTGGTGTCGGGCCAAAGCAGGAACTTTCTCCTCTGGTGGGCGCGGCGGAGGCTGATGACTCACACACATTAATCTTTCTGGCTTTGCACTCCGGCAGCGGCAGACGCAGCCAAATTGCGTTTTACAACAAGAAAGTACAAGCAGTGCATTTTGACTCTGATAATTTTTTTTCTTCCACAAATCTATTTTCGACATTATGTCGCTCGTATGATTACAAGCAGGTGAGACCAAGTGCAGAACAAGAGGGGAGAGGAAAGAGGGAATGGGGGAAGAAGAGCACGAGGAGGTGGAGGAAATGATGAGAGATGAAGGAGAGGAGGAGGAAGGGAAAATAAGAAAAAAAGTAGGAGGTGGAGAGAGAGGTAGAAGGGGGATGCTTGAAGCTATTATGCACCTGGACATTCCACCTTCAGCTTTTTATTAAAAAACTGATATTTTCTTATGTACTTAATAAAAAGTTAAAAGGTGCAAGACTTCGTACGTAAAAATTAAAGATAAACGGGTGAAGATGTTTCCAAGGTGCGTTTTGGTAATAAACATCCCATCAATGAAGTTAGAACTGTTTGGCTTGGCATTATGGTGTTGAGAAAATGGATTAAATAATCTGTAGGTTAAATAAATTCAATTTTGGGGTTTCTGGGTCAAATTTGGATGAACTCAAGGGGGTATGGCGCCACGCTTTGTCCACAACTGCGATCTTCTCCAAGGCACATAGTTAGTCGTATTTAGAAGCTGAAATCATTTCAATTTGAGGCCATTGCGTAAGTGTATAGGACTGTTACACTACGCACAAGAGTCCAATGTTTCCATGTTCAGTAATGTTGAGGATATTGTTGACAGAAAACAGTGAAACAAGCAGAAATACTTTTGAAAGCAGTTGCTTTCTTCCTGCTTTGCAACTCTATGAAGGAGAGAACAAAAGAAGGAAGGATGTGGATGAACAGTCAAAGGAGGAAAAGTAAAAAGAAGGGAACAATCACTTACTGGTGTGGTCGTTGTATCGTTCTATGTAGTACAAGTAGTGGATAGCTTTGTTCTTTGCCTGCAGACAACAGTTAACAAAAAAACAAACACAGAAACAGCAAGTTGGCATTTTGCTATTATAATTCATTTCAGTGGGTAAGTGGTGCCTGCTGTAGCTGCACACAAATTATATCAGTATTAGTCATATTATTAAAGCCTTTAATGATAAATAAGAAAACATACTGAATTACAGAAGGTCTGGGGTGCCATCTTTTAAGTTTACTGTGTGAGTTCTCTGAGGTACCAGCCAGGACTGAATCACATCCAAGCAAATATTTTACATTCCAATTTTGTGGCAATGATCGAAATCCAAATATGCCATTACTTTAATATTTTTTTATTACACAAATCTAAAAGGGAGCATGTATCAGTTAATCAATGTACATTGTAATTCAATTACTTCTGTGTTGGTCTTTACTATAAAAGCTTACGGCGCTTTTATATCATTTAAATTATACCAGCACACTCAATCTCCACTGAAGCCCAGAATACAAATAACGTTTCTATAATGCACCTGAATAAATCACATCACGATTGGTCCACATTTATCATTTTATGAATCTCAAGACCAACACGAAAATAACTAGATTGCTATGTACAGTGATTAACTGATTGTTCTCTCTCAGACCCTCTGACAAAAATATCTCATCTTAAGGTTCTTTTAGCAAAGTCTAAATGCTGTTTCCACTCTGATAATGAAACTACTTAATTAATTTTATCTAAATTTAAAATACAAAACGACACTTAACAACATTGGAAATGCCACAAATTGGGAAATAATAACACAAAAACTGACTTAATGGTTATTTTACTTGGAATAAAGGTCTTACCTTCCTCAGAGCTGTGATTCTGTCTACTGCTTTACCCAACGCAAAGCCTGTTGGAAAGAAGGGAGTCGGATTTAAAACATCTCTAAGAGAAGAGTGAAGAACACTGTCGGAGCTCGGTGTGTCAGAGAAGTTTAAGAAAAGTTCATGGTGTTATTTGTTAGGGATGCTGCCAATTAAACCCAGATTTGATTGTTTCAGATGTTGTTAAATTAGTGTTACTAATGAAGAGCCTACATAAATACTGTAATATGAGGACATTTGAATCAACGCAGCATCAACAGACTCTGTAATGAGAGGTTGAAGGCAGGTGAATCTCAGGAGTCTTTTAAGAGTTTCCATAACATTTTTATCACTCACTTCTGAAGAGCTTGAAAGCTGTCAAAACCATTTCCTGCAGTTCTCCACATCCACTGCGGCTGCAGTTACTATTCAACTCTTGCAAAAACTCTGAAACTGTCAAAATCATTTTCCAATCATGTGTTTAAAGTTGTTCCCAGAGTCCTGATCTAGGTTTAATTTCCAGAGAATGTCCAACCTGCGGCTCCGTTGCCGTTTCCCACAGCGACCAGACAGCTGATGGACCTTTTCCTGCCCTCCTTGGCCGTCATGTTGAACACGCTCTTCACCTGCAAAACAAACACCAAACTTATCAAGTTCTGCTTGGCCATCATGTTAAACACACACAGTATCATTACGAGGGCGGCACAATTTATCGAAATATTATCAAAATCGCAATATGGCAAAGTGCAATATGCAACTCCCAGAAGTGATATGTGAATCACTGTGTGAAGAGCTGTAATGTTTTGATCAAAGTAAAATGTGTGACAAAACAGCATTATGATGAATACCGTAATCATGCAGTAACCAGTACCCTGGTCTACAAATTATCAGTCTACCATAAATTTCACATCATGATTCTAATATTCTTTTGTAGAAAATTATGCAAAAATGTTAATTCCCACATAATCATGAATTGTTTTATCCGTCAAAAAAATCACAATATGATGCTTTTACCATATTGTGCTGCCCTAATCATTACCACGGCACGTTGTTCTTCACAATGCTCTTACAGAACTAACGTCATGACAGTCTGAGTTAACTGTAATTCAGACATCCACCTAGGCTTTGTTTAAAGTTGTCAAAAATGTACTGACGACATGAGCACCAAAAATATTATGTGAAAGGTTATTCTCTCAGTTTGTTCAACACAACTATCAAACATAATATGCAGCAGAAATAAGGTTCATGCTACCCAAAGTGAGAACAAGTACAATTGACAACAGTCAGAGCCATGGACAACGTTGTGTGTGCATATTGTTCAAGAGAATACTGAAGATCGGTTCAGAATCTTTTTAAAAACAGTATCTGCAAAAATTTAAGGAACCATAACTGAATTGTGTTTGTGTGTGTAAACTTAGAAATGAAATGTAAACCTGGGTGACAATAAAAATCCCCCTCATGCAGAGAATGTGAATTGGAAATAAAATAATTTAATGCCAACTTTAGACATTTCTATTCCAGACAAATACTGATATATGCGATTGTTTGTGATTATTTAAATCTCCGTGCTACCCTCTTGCTACCACATAAATATTTCTCTAGAAGACACAACACAACTTATTTTGGCTCATAATTTAGATGACATGTAATAATAATCATGTATTCTTCTAAATTTTACATACAATAAAGTTGCTGAACATAAAGAAAGAAGTGTGTGTGTCGTCAACTTTCATCGATCTTCTCACACACACACACACACACACACACACACACACACACACACACACACACACACACACACACACACACACACACACACACACACACACACACACACACACACACACACACACACACACACACACACACACACACACACACACACACACACACACACACACACACACACACACACACACACACACACACAGCGTCCCGACCTCTCTTGTGCAGCCACATAAGCTTATCAACTATCTGCAATATGACTTTTATAACGCCAGGGGGCAGCAGTGGTACAGCACAGGGAGGAGGAAAGAGCGGAGGATGAGAGTTCGAGGGGAGGTAAGATGTTAGAAAAAGGAGGAAAGGTGAGGTAGGAGTCAAGGAGAGAGATAGAGAGAGTGGGGGGGTGAAGGAGGAGATACAAAGGTGAAAAAGAACAGGGCAGGTCAGAGAAGACAGAAGGAAAAGAAGAGGACACTGATGTGGAGAGAGAAGAAGGCAGGTGAGAGGAGGAGAGAAAGGGAGGTGGAAAACTGACTTTGGCAAGGGGGAAGGGATGGAGGGGAGAGAAGAGGAAAGCAAAAGAGAAGAAGGGTGGAGGGAGAGGGAAATGAGAGGAAAGGAAAGGAAAAGCAGCTTTATTGCCTCTTTAGACATGAAATGTTTGAGATGGGTAAATGATTAAGAGGATGATAAAGGAAGAAATAAGATAAGGGGAAAAAACAAGGAAAAGCAGAGAAGAAAAAGAAGAGGAAAAAGCAGAGTGGCTGTAAAAGGTCTCTGTGGCAAACAATGTGTGTGTGTTTGATTGAGGACACACAAAGTATGGATGTACGTGTGTGTGAGAGAGAAAATATATGATGAAAAACAGTCAGAGTTTTGTACTGTAGAGGGGAATGAGAATTGCAGAACATTGCTATGATGAATAAAACTAGCCAGTTGTACTTATCAACTAATTAAGTGGAGTTAATTAAGATAATTAGAGCACTAATTAGATTCTTAGATTTCTTATGACATCATTTTCTTCACCTAATGTGTTATGAATAAAAACCTGTAGTAGTTTCAGCCTTTTAAGAATATTGAGCTACTTTATCACTTATATTTAAAGCTGCATTAACATGATAGCAAACTGTTGCCTTAGCGTTTATTTCAAGTCATGTTTCTTATCTGATGAATGCCAGTATTTACTCTCCTTTTAGCTCTGATTTGGTCTCCAACACCTCCTGAGGGAAATATTTGACTCTTTAGCCGCTAAAGTGCTTCACAAGTGAGACCTTTCCCATTACACAAAGTCCTTTGATCCATTGTTCATATAAAAATATAGATTAGTGCAGCTTTAAGTACAAATTAGCTAATTCATCTGCAATTTAAAGTTGCAGGGAATGAGTTCATTAGTTTTAAATATTGATAACAAGACAATATTTAAAATAAGAAAACAAAGGGAGTCAATAATAATAATAAGAAAAGATACTAAAGCAAACATGACTGTTATTACTTGGGAGTTTTTAAAACCAGTGTGTAGGATTTAGAGGCATCTAGTGCCCTCACCCTTTCGGTTCCAAGTGTTTAGTAGAGACTATGTTGGCCGTGAAACCTGCAAAAGGCCCTGCCTAGAGCCATTGTTGGATTTCTCCATTTTGGGGCTAGTGTAGAAACATGGCAGTTAAACATGGCGGACTCCATGGAAGAGGGCCCGCTCCTTTCGTAGATAATAACAGCTGATTCTAAAAGGTAATAAAAACACAATAATTCTTATTTTCAGTTGATTATACACAAATAAAAATATACCCATGGATATTATATTCCATATTATTCTGCCAATAGATCCTAAATGTTAGGGTTTAGGGTTTCACACTGGACATTTAAAGATCCTGCTGCTCCTGTGTGTGAGTGTGTGTGAAAGAGAGGGAGAAAGAAAAAATAAGTAAGAGAAAAATAAAAACAGACAGATGTAGAATAGCAAAGAGATTGTGAGAGAAAACAAAACAATAAGTTAACGAGGGAAGAGTGAATTTGACAGAAACTGAGCAAAAGCAGACAGAGCGAGACAATTTGAATTAAAAATCCTATTATACACGTACTAAACGGTTCAACAACTCAGCACATACATGTCATGCTGACAATAAAACCAAGTGCAAAGCTAAACCTCCATCATCTCCCCACAGCAATACTGCAAAAGCCAATTTATGGCCAAGTGGCCAATTAAGTTGAGAGAAATTTACTAGAACTTATCTGTCTTCAAAAAACCTGAAACCGTGACTTCCACAGAAACACCACAGAAATAAAAGTGCTAATGTCTGATCTTGTAAACAAACAGCACACCTCACCCTGAATCAGATCCAGGTGTGGTATGTGTCTGTCTGTATCTATTGCCTCATATTTCTTTCTATGGGTAGCGTGTGCACTGTGCAGGGACCACAAGCAGCCTGTCGGGGACTTATCTGGGCCAAAAAAACAAACACAACACCTCAACGCTTTCATCCCCGCCAGAAAGCGTAAGTCACAGAACAGTGTTGAATTTCAGCTGAGGGAACTTCAAAGTCAAGATCTGCCTTCAGCTTCACGAGTTATGTAACATACATTTCAGTAAAGGATTTATAATTTGGCTGCAGGGCCACAGCGGAAGGATTGGGGTCAGGGTAGCAGCAAACACCAAAACACAACCCTCCAGGGGAGGGACGGACGGACACACAGAAACACACACACGGACACACACACACACACACACACACAGACACACACATACACACACAGAGAGCCCTAATACTTCCACATGCTTGACTCATTTTCTTACCTTTTTCTACCTTAAACATGCACAGGAAGTACAGACAGTAAAGAAGTAGAGGTGTTTTTGTAGCTCAATGCAAAATACTACATAAAATACAAAACACACAAACACACACACACACACACTGTGACTGGAGGTCTTAAGGGAGGGGGCCGCAATATAACCTTGCTTGCTGTCAAGTGTAGTTGAGGATAAGGAAGCTCTCTGCAAAGATCCAGACCAGATGGGATTCTCAAACACTGTTTTTGTAAATCAGAAGTCGGTGTGACTTGTAGCTACTTACAGCCAGTTTCTAGTGTGTGTGTGTGTGTGTGTGTGTGTGTGTGTGTGTGTGTGTGTGTGTGAAGAGTGAATGTCTCCAGCGATGTTCGGCTTTTGGCTTTGCATTCGTCATTTTAGGTGACGATGCAGCAGTTTTGGCGGGCCGTTAGCAGCAGAGCAGATGGGCTGAGTTTTCTCTCCACCGGATGAGCGACAGCATGGCGGTGGGAGGATGCTTCTAGCTTGCTCTCACTTCTGTTTCATGTCTTATTTTCTCAAACTGTTGCTGCATGTCTCCCCTCTTTGTATCCGTCTGTATGCTGCAGTGCAGGGGAGGAGTTTTCACCGCATGGAAGCAGAAGGTGCTGTGAGAGTACAAACCTCCGCCAACGTTAAACACTTCCCTGACTTTCGTTTGCATTTGAGTCGATGTCTTGACTCTTCACACTGAATAGTGTCAAGAGTTTATTTATTCCTGCACAACTGAAAACATTTCTTCCATATGGAGGAGAAATTATTTTTGGATAATTAATCTATGACTACACAGATTATATCCATTTTATTTGTATTTGTTCGGTGTTTCCTTAGCTTGTGCAGTAGGATTTACAGACCCTGTATTCTGGGTGTGTGATGCAACTCCAACTGACAATCTCACTGAGCAACACTGCTTATACCCTTCCTCTTGTGTGAAAGGTTTTTCTGATACATCCTGACGTAAATATAACTGATTCTCTTTCTTTTTGCCAAGTCTGTAAAGAAAACATACAATGTGAGGAAATTATCACTATCTCCAAACAGGCAACCCTTTATGAATGTCTCATGATCAGTATTGTTGCTAAATGACTGACCACGAAC